TCGACCCCCTTTTTCTCTACTCCGCTTAGTGTTGAAACAGAAAACTCATTATGTGTCAAATTATGTGCGTCTCTATTATTATTCTTTATAAGTCGCTTCCATCTTGAACAAAAAATTAATCGACTTAGAACCAGATGAAACCCGACTGAAATCATACGAAATAGGTAATTACGACTTTTTTAGTGGTACCGAGTTTTGTAAAATCGAAAACACTGTCAGCAATGCGGAAATAAAAAAAATCACTTTTTATTATTTACCCTCCAATAACTCCAAAACTATCCAACATATCCTAATGATTTTCTATTTGACTTGAAGAGCATACGTAAGCGATGATAACCGAGGCGATATAATTTTCGAATTTTTTATTTTCCATTTTTTTCACGACCTCACATATGAAAATTGGATTTTTTGTATTGAAATTGTCAGTAAGCGAGAAACTTTTTTATTTCAAACATTTTCATACTATATGCTGCGAACGAAATGAGGAAATTTACAAAAAAAAATGCAGTCTTTTATACGCAGTAGTATTCGAAATACCGCGCCATGATGAGCCATCGAAGCAAAGAAGTACGAGGGCAGCGCCAAAATTTCAGATTATTTCGTAATATATCTACTTCATTTATCATCAATTTTATAAATTTTGGCTAATAAAGTACAAAAAAAGTATTTATTTTTATACATACAGTGATAAAATTAATTATAAGTGAGTTAAATTTATGTAAAACTGCGATCGTAATACATATACATCTGACCGGGTAATAGTAAAGATTTTGTTATCTACTGAGCATTTTCAAAACTGTCCGCCATAATGTTAACCGCATGCAAATGGTCTGCCATTATTATTTTTCGATAATAATAATATATTTTAAGATTTCAAAACGGCAGTCGTGGTCAAATATATTTAAAATTCGCCAAAAATTAATACCTGTCTCACCTGCGCAGTACCTGGGTCCACCGCTTTGGGCTTAGTGGGTCCCCACATCATGTATAATAGATATAGGGGCCGCAATGTACAAAAACCCAGGTCTGGTCAAATACATTCAGGTAGCCGCCCACTGGCTCTTAGACTATTATTTAGATTCACGTGTAGGTACTTCGTATTGTCGAGTAACTGAGATCTCAGCTGTTCTGCGGACCAAAGGTGGGGGTCGCTAAGAGTAAGGATCACGTGATGTTTGTATGCGCGAAAAAGTTGTGCGGAAGCCTAATCATGACTGATAAAATCAATTTTTATGAATAAAAAGCTGATTATCATAAAAGTATTTCATATATTCGTGATCTGGACACTTGAAAACATAAACATTTTCACAGATATCCAGGGCAAAAAAAAAATCTTTATTTTTAGAGCTGTGCTATTCGCCAGTCCACTAGCACAAAAAGTTATTCTTTTAATTTCCATAATAATATTCCCTCTATTTAACAAACGATATTCCAAGCGGAAAAACTGTATCAATAATGTTTTTCCAAATTTACTGAGCGGCTGCTTTAAATCCGGAATGATAAACCCTTTCCGTTTCAGGGTCAGGGAAATAAATGTGTATGAATTGAAACCATGATTATAACACGACTAGACTATACCACAGCATAAAAATTGCTGTTATTTTTTCCTATGATTTGCGTTTCTGCTTTATCTTGTTTCAATTAATGAGACTAGAACCTCAATCTTTCTTCTGTGATATCACCAGACATGAACGTCATTCGTACTAGCAAGACAAGGTTTACAACTTTGCTAGAGTCGTTGCGACTCATTGAGACGACTTATTTCGGATGCACTCTTATCACTGGGTTAATTAGAGACAATTGACGCGAACGTTTCGCCCAATGAATCGCGAGGACGCTTCTCGATGAAAATGGAATGCAAAGGGCTAATTAGTCCGGTAATATCCGGAAACATGCAACGAGTTCATACATACACAAACATGTACTTATGTAGTAGCGACGCGTAGCATCCTTATTATCGAAACCTAATTTGCAAATTTTATCACTGGTTATTTGCATATATATTGTTAGGTTTTTAAACCGACTAAAATCGTTTCGGTTCGACAGACGAGATTGTGACATCAAACGTTAAAACTTAACGGAACTTAAAATTTATTTTAGTCCCAAAATAACAAAATCGCTTACAATTTCCTGGCTCTTATTCCCTACTAACCAATAATTTATATAAGGTCTCTATTTGTATCTGTCAAATATTTATATTTGCGCGCTTCGGTTTCTCTTTTCGACTGACCGAAAGGGGTCAAAAATTCGAGCCTTCTTATAGATAGGCGGCGTCTATGATCTCGCACCGATCCCTGCGTACGACCGAGTTCTCGGAACAAAGTCAGGGCCGGGTCGGCCCATTCGACTCGCTAGACATCATTTATTGATCAGCGTTCTGCAAGAAAACCCCTTTTAAAATAAAAAAAACGACATCAATGAACTCGTGTCCGTTATTTAATTAACAGTAACCTGAGGAGTATACCTTAAAGCTGGCTAATGAACTGGGCGTTAGTACTAAGTGGTTGCGATATATTTTGACAATTTTACGGTGTTTATGCACTACGAACGAAAATGAATTCTTGTGATAATGCAGTAATACGAGGTGTGTTCAAAAAGTAAGGTGACTTTTTGTATGCTCGGCGATGTTCTGCTGTCAAAAAGCGGAACAAAAAATTTCCATAAAATTTTGTGTAAAAAATGGAATACAGTGCTGAATACACTTGAAATGTTGACAACGGCATATGAGGAGCAAAAAAAATGTTTATAAGTGTTCCAAAATGGCGGGGAGGAAGCCTCGTACTGAAAAATCGTCGAATCACTATTAGAGAAGTGGCTGAAGACGTCGGCATCAAATGCGTAGCAGCAAAATTAGTTCCGAAACTGCTTAAATTTGAACAAATGGACAGTCGAGGAATTATCGTTCAAGAGCTGTTCATCGACGTTAATGATGATCCTGATATGCCCAAAAAGGTTATAACTGGTGGCGAATCATGGGTATATGGTTATGACGTCGAAACCAACTCCCAGCCGTCCCAATGGAAGAACCCAGAATCGCCAAGAACGAAAAAGCACGTCAAGTTGGACCAAATGTCAAGGTTTTGCTTACTTTGATTATCGTGATGTAGTATTTTGGGAAAACAGTTCATCACGATAATACACCTGCTCATTCATCGTTGCTTGTGTCTAAGTTTTTGGCCAAAATCAAAACCGCAATCATGCCCCAGGCACCACATTCACCGGACATGGCCCCCTGTGACTTCTTCTTGTTTGCAAAACTCATGAAACCGATGAAAGGAAGAAGGTTTGATGCAATTGAGAAAAAGAAAAAATCTCTACAAGAACTCAAGGCTATACCCAAAAAGTGGTTCGAGGATTAGAAACAACGTTGGCACAAGTGGGGCGGATTACTTTGAAGGGGCCAACATTAAAATTTTGATATATATATAGGCCAAAAAAGTTTTTTGGGCAAGTAAAGCATTTACGCCTATTGTATATTATATAATTTTTGTTATAAATAATTTGAGTTCTAATATATTAATAGGATTGTATAAATAAAGAATTGGGTTCCGGCTATTGTAAGATATGATAATCTATATTGCGGGTATTATTTATAAATAAAAAATAACTGACTATTCTGGTTTAAAAAATATTTTTTAAATGTACACATTTAAGTAATACGTACATTTTAATTTTTTAAAGAAACTTCCACAGGCTTTACTTTTTACAAAACTTCTGGATTCCTCCTGCGTCGGTTTTTGCTGAAACAGTTTCAGTCAAGCTCTGAAGAAGGCAACAGGATGATTGGCGAAACGTCAGCAATTTCGACTCAGCAAAAACCGACGCAGGAGGAATCCAGAAATTTGCTAACCAATAAACAACCACTGAAAGGAAATATTGTTCGATTGCAGAATAGTAACAATATATCGGTAAATAAAGTAATCAAACGATGACAAACCCATTGAACCATTGATATGAATGAGCCAAAACAAAGGCAACAATCCCGATTACTAATCTTTTTCTATTGTAAAATTTGACTCACTTTTCTATAACGCCGACCAATAAAAACGTGGACACTCGCATGAGAAAAATAAGTTATTTTCGAATGACCATTAACTTTAGTTGGTCTGCGGTCAAAACCGCCAAAGCTTCCGCGCGACATCTAGCGTCGGAATAAACTAACAATTTTTACGGGTCGGATAAAATCTTCTATATGCAATTTATACGCAGACCTCTGTGCGGACGGATAAAGGGCTATGCTTTTACGCGGATTAGCTTTACGAGCTTTGAGATTATAAATCGAAGTAGTTGGCGTTGAAATTTCTCGTTCATATTCGCCGAACCGCTCTCGACTTTAGCGGCATCGGAAAATCGCGAATGAATGGTTATGAGCGAAAACTATCCGAGACGCCGGAAAAGAAAAAAACAACCCCCCTTCCCGTCTTTCCGCCAATGATAAAATAAACACATAAAATACACGAGATTTATATACCGTAATCTGTGTAAATAAGCAAAATCGGGCGATAAATCAACGCGGCCGCGTCTGGGAAGCGTACAAACCGAAATAGATGGCGGCGACGTCATCGGACCCCCAGACAGTGTAGTTAGTGTTTTTTACCCGTTGCTTGTCTGGTTTCAATTGACCACGTGCTAGACGTGATTTGTCAAGTCAATGGAAGTTTTAAGATATTTACATCCCATTTTTATATTAATTTACTTAGTATCCGGATTATATATGTATTTTACACCCAAATAACCTAATGTTTAGTTTCCGTTCGCTCCCACTACACATAATCCGGTCCTTCAAGCCGGATCCCGTTGAATTTTCAAGAACGCGACCCGGATTCGGCCCGGAAAACGACATTCTCCGGTTTATTTATACACATTCCGAGCCAAGGCAAATGAGGTGTACAGGAACAGGAACCCGAACGGGAGTCGTCCCGGATAATTTCCAAACGACCTGTTTACGTATACGCCCGGATCCGGAAACGGCGATAAAATGTACTTCTTCTTCGTTGCAGGTGGAGCAATTCACGGTGCTATGGATACTGTTCGTAGTGATCGTCGCGGGCAACATGGGCGTACTCTACACCCTCCTGTTCGGCAGGTCCAGGAAAAGCCGGATGAACTATTTCATCACCCATTTGGCTTTCGCGGGTATTTAGTTAGTTTAGGTTTGCCTGGTCGCAACGTGTTGGGTTTTTCTTATAGATTTGTCCGTCGGACTTATAAGCGTCCTAACCGACATCATATGGAGGATTACGGTTAGCTGGAACGCCGGCAACGTCGCCTGCAAAATCATTCGATTCCTGCAGGTAAAAACGCTGGGCAAGTTGTGACTTTTGGTCGAAAAAACCTTAACGTGACAGCCATTATTGACCTAACTGTATTTCGGCACTAGATCAGGATCTTTTATAACATTAAACGTCATACATTTTCTTTCACGTAATGTTAAACAATATACCTACTATAACCAAAGTTTACAGAATTAAAATATAAGTTGCAGCACTCTCTGTCAGACCTTTGATGTGTCTTTGATGCAGTCGTACGGGATATGATATATTTATAAACAAATAATATGACGCACTTAATAAAGTTCTTTTCATTATTACATGAAAATTTTTAAACAAATATACGAGTATATGCTTCTTGGACAAAAATATTAAATTGGACTGATGTGACTTTTACTTGATGAAAATCCATTTACCGCAATTAAATTAGAACAAAAAATGTTCGCATTTTCACAGAAGGATTAATTATGCAAAAATTTTCAGGGACAATTTAGAAAATATCATACATAAACATCTTCTGAATGAAGGATTTCTCTGATGGTATAGATACGTAGATGACTTTTTTGCTTTAACTGAAATGGAAAGACATCTGCAGTCATTTTTGAATCATATTAACTCCATACATAACCGTATAAAATTTACCACAGAGAAGGAACTAGATAACTCTCTAAACTTTCTGGCCTTAACTATAACTAAACTACAGAACAAATTTGATTTTTCCATGTACCATAAATCCTCACACACGGACACAATAATACATAATAACTCAAATGACCCCTATATATATATGCTTTTATCCACAGAGAACTTTCCACAAAAAATTATGAAAAAGAATTAAATTTTATAAAACAAATAGATTTTAACAATGGTTACGACCCCATTTTGATAGATAAGATTATAACTAAAAAGTAGTTTCAAATAACTCTGAACTCTATCTCTCCTATATTAAACACCGAACTCAAAATTTATTAAAAAAAAGGAGAATCTAGTAAGAAAATTTGGAAACATTTGGTCTTAACATTGCTTTTAAAACTGAAAACACCATAGTACAGTTTTTTAAAAACAATAAAAGTAAATTGTGAAATACTCAAAAATCCGGAGTCTACAAGTTGACATGTAGATCATGTCCCAAAATTTATATCGGACAAACATCGGTAGGTAAAAGGGCGTATAAAAATAAAAGTTCGGATTCATTTAAATTCATAAATACACAACTTTGATGGTAATTTTGATATTTTACAGAATCAATCAAAAAGCAAAACACTAAATTTGTTGAAAGCTATGGATATGGAGATTAACAAAATGAGATATTCGAATCTATCACTTAATGATGGAATTTAGTGTTAAGAATAGAAAATTTCTATTGTCAAACCTTGTCGTCGGGTACTGTTTTGAAGAAAATGGCTTTTCAGTTCCAAACAATTAATAAACGTGACGACAATAGCGATATTGACGAGTTTTTAAGCGACTGATACTTTTTTATTATTATATTCAATATTTTGTATATTAATAATGATACTATGTAGATATTTAATGAAATAGAACGTAATAATATATGCCGCTTGTTAATGTTCCTTGAACGCTCCTGGAATAGTTACGGATAAGGGTCCGCTCGGCAGGGTGTCTTATAAGAATAAATAAACAGTAGGCAAAGTTAATCGGGGGTCTGTTTTAAAAGCACTATGTTTGTAGTCCAAGTATAGTAGATAACATTTCGTTTAAGAGTCCAGGTCGAATGTTGCCGTAATTCAAGGTCGCGTAATTTGGTATATTAACATAGGTTGCTATGTTAATATACCATACTTCAGTAGTCTTGAGTCACAGATATTTGAGTAACTCAAATATGTTATGTATATTCTTATGAAATTCAACCAATTCAATTTAAAATCGTCCGTTTATCAAAATTCTGGAATAATATTTATCAGTCAGATATTGTTCTAAGGTGTTGGTGACTTACGGCTCGACTTACGTGCTGGTGGCGCTGAGCATAGACCGATACGATGCAATCACGCATCCGATGAAGTTCTCCGGAAGCTGTGAGTACAAATCAAACTTTCTTACGGTGACCTGTGATCGCGCGTTGGGTTTTTTGAAGCTGGAGGATTGTATTGCAACGTTTTGGCGTGTAAAGCTTTCTAGTTTGAACGTTAAACTCAACCTAGTCTGTCCGGGTCAGATAGAAAACGTTTTCAGAATTTCAGATGTTAAAAAATAACATATTTACGTAGTGCACTCGCGATGAGCGGCGAAAAATCCTGTTGGGAAATTGATTTACATTTGCAAGTCGCGTGCCATTGAGATCATGATAGACGGGGGTTTGTTGAAATGTCGGTGACAGGAAACGATTGTGTCGATGTTTATTTGTGACCCTTTTCAACGAATCCAGATGAACGGTGTCGATTTGTTCGCGTTGCAAAAATATATAAAAAGGTTCAAAAATTAAAAAAAAAATAAATAAAAATTATTTTTGCGTATTTTATCGTACCTAGGAGAAGCAAATGACTGGTTGACTGGTTGACCAGCTTCTATGCTACTGGCGGAATTGCCATTTTTCTTGCCAATACTTTTCATATAAAGAACATACTCTTTATTATGAGCTCACGATTCTACAGTTAAAATATTTCATTGATTAATGAAGCACCATATATATAAGTTACAAAAATACATTTGGAATCATCAACATTTCGCCAATAAAAGGTATTCACTTCTTAAATTTCCAGTATTTTTCGTTCATCAACGTCCTACAGATGTTTTGTAGTAGTTTAATTTTAAGAAAAGGAGATTTTTAAAAATTATTTGTTTAAGAATCAAACTTTTCCTTTTTTCAATCTAAACTGCTAAAACCAAAACCTGCCGGTTGTCTTGCTCGCCCTCAAAAAAATAAACCTTCTTAACCTCCCCTCCTGCGGAAAACATTCACTTAGGGCGAGCCTTTCCGAGTGAAGGGCGTTAAGCGAATTTGGGGGTGAGTTCCAATTAACGCGACGGCTTGTCGCTCTCCTCTTTGTGTTCCAGGGAAGAGGGCGAAGTGCTTGATAATTGCCGCGTGGCTGTTTAGCGTCCTGTTCTCCATACCCATACTGATTTTGTACGAGGAGAAGTCAATACAAAGTAAGTACAACGTGTAGACGTGGGGAGAGCAACCTTGAATTGGTCGCCCATTTTAACGGTAGCTGACAACATAACCTATCTTTTACTAAACGCAAGGGGTTGTTTACTATTTTTAATGCAATCATAAAAAAAATGTCTATCAATGCATAAATATGTAATGATTGAAAGAAATTCTACGATTTCTTGATCATTCAGGGGACAAAGAACCGTTACTTCCTGAGGCTTCCAAGGGTTTTCCCGTTTCTTGCTTTATGTTTTGGAAATTCTTTAGGACACCATGTATGCATACTATATTAAGTGTGCTGCCATCTGTAGATGAGTGGGAAAACTACTAAATATGAATTCTCTGGTTGTCGAGAAATTTTGATATCGCCTAGGAGACGGAGGATGGCAAAGAACGAAAAATACACTACTTACGGTATTAGATTTACAATACAGAGTGGATGATTCTTTGGCACTTGTCAACAATTCTTTCTGGCATAACCTCACTTTCTGGGTTAACCTCAGACCTACCGAATTTTTCACCGGGGAGACTACCGTCAAAATAGAGGCACCACCCGCACATCCCAAGCATTTGATATCGCCTTCTCTTTCTTTCTGTCTCCCCTCGCGTAGACCAACTCCAGTGCTGGATCGAGTTCCAACACCAGTGGCAATGGAAGATATACATGGTGCTGGTTTCGGTCACGCTGTTCATCGTGCCGGCCCTGATAATCACCACGTGCTACGCGGTGATCATAGTGACCATTTGGGCCAAAGGGGCGCCCAGCTTTGCGAGAAACAGGCGCAACGACCACGACCGTCCAGGTATTTTATTTTGACGTCGTGTACAACGAGAGTCGATACTCTTCTTCGATTTTCGTTTAAGGTTCCGACAATTCGCGACGGGCATCTTCGAGAGGACTGATCCCTAGGGCCAAGGTCAAGACCGTCAAAATCACCTTCGTCATTGTCACAGGTACGTACTTTTAGGTTAGTTTTGATCGACTTAATTGTATTGAAAATTTGGTACCGGAACCTTCACCGCATCTTCCATGTTTAATCATATAATTGAACATTAAAATTAGCAAGAAAAACATTGAAAATTTCCTTTCAAACACCGAACTAACCAAAATCTTAAATTCCAGTATTTATTCTGTGCTGGAGTCCGTATATAATATTCGACCTGCTACAAGTCTACGGTCATATACCGAGGACCCAGACGAACATAGCGGTGGCCACCTTCGTGCAGAGTCTGGCTCCTCTGAACTCAGCAGCCAACCCCATTATCTATTGCATCTTCTCTACGCACTTTTGCAAAATGATCGGGTGAGTAAGTACCGTCAAAAGTGTCCTCTTCGCATGCCAACAATATTGCTTCTTTAATTGTAATTTGGTTTAACTATTTATCCTGGTTTTTATGTTCTATCTGTCAATCCTATAGCCAAATGTTAGAATCTTTTACTTCCTGTTGATATTCTTTGAGGCTATCATTGTTTTTTTTTTATTCCCGTCTGTAAAATACCTAATTACACACCGATCTAGCCCGCGTAAAACGTCAAGCAATCGGATGATTTCGGAGATATTTCCCAAGCTTTGAATTTTGACGTTTGTCAATTCTGAGGGTCAGGTCAGTGAATGTATTCGTGTTGTTTTGCGAAAATGTATCCAGAAACTGACGGTCGTAGAAAATAGTATATTATGCAACAAGTGCGGTAAACAGCATTTGACTCACGAGTTCATTTGACACGAGCGGAGCGAGTGCTTAATAAACAAGTGACTTAAAAAGTTTACGGGAAGTGTTGCTTACATGACTGTCAGAATTGACAAACGTCAAAACAAAGCGTGGGAAATATCTCCGAAACATTCCGATTGCTCCCAAACCCGTGCGGTAAAATCCCGGAAATGTCCGAAGTGGCTCGGATACGTGGGAAATGAAACTGGCGTGGTAAAGTGACGCTTTCCGCACGCTAGATCGGTGTGTAATTAGGTATTTTACAGACGGGAGTAGAAAAAGTATAGTATGCAGCAAGTTCGGTAAACTTTTTAAGTCACTCGTTTATTAAACACTCGCTCCGCTAGTGTCAAATAAACTCGTGAGTCAAATGCTGTTTACCGCACTTGTCGCATAATATACTATTTTTAATTATTTCTAACTCACCGTTGTTTGCTAATCTTATATAATCAACTATCTATAAATTCGCAGTCGCTGATACTTCGCCAAAAATACCTTATCCGATTTTCATAGATTGTTTAAAAATTCTCAATCATTGCGCTTTCACAAAAGGTCAAGAACCGTTTTTTTTTTATATTGCTCCAAGTTTAGCTCTCTTTTTGGTTAGTTTATCATTGTTTAATCTATCTTTCCTTTGGATTATCTAAAATTCGATTGTTGCGCTTTCGCCAAATGTCAAGAATTTGGTTTTTACATTTTATTTTATCGCTGATAAGCTTATCCTATTTTTAATTTGAGCTCACATTTCTCATGTTATTTTATTTTGAATATTAGCTTTTGCTCTCTTTTACTTTACCTTTGGTATTGTATTTAACATACACTGTTAATTTTCTTGCTTCTTTTGATTAAATATATTACTATTTTAGCGAAGCATGTCCTGGTGTAAATTTCCTATGTCTGAACTTAATTACTTCCCAACTGTGTTAACTTAATTTATATGTATATATCTATTTTCTACTTATTTAATATTTTTCGGCTTCATTAACGTTCCTTTTTTTGTTATATTTTTCTTTTCTTTTTCTTTTTTAAGCGTTTGTTTCCTGCTTGTCTCTATTTGTATCTGCTACACACTTTCCCTCATTTTAATTTTGGCGTCGACCGCACGCGCACCCTGTATATTCAGGCGGTGTCGTTGCAGCCTGCTGCCGCCGTTCAAATGGTTCTGCGGCAGGAAAAAACGGCGGTCAGGCGATTCGGCTACGACGACGACGACCACCACGACCCAGACGAGCGGCCTGCTCTCCGAGTTTGTCTCCCAGAAACGCAGGTCCGAGTTGATGACGACCGGAACGAAAGCTCACACAGTATTAATCCACGCCAAAAATTAAATGTTAGATGTTCTCCAGTAAGAGTACATGTTTTGGATGTCTTTTACCTGCCCTCCTCAGATCTGTAGGATGTTGTGCCGCCTCCCACGAAACTGCCCCCTCCCTTCCAGGAAACGAGTAATAAACGCGCAAAAAGACTGACAAATTAACGAAATAAAAAAACGAGTCAAATAATGTGTACACAAATTATTTACATGCAAAACGAAATAGACTGTGTTAGTTTTATTTTAATACGTTGTCGTAAGTGTTTTTTAATATTATACAATTCGATGTAAAGTTAAAGAACGGCGGAAATACAAGTCGTTTAAAGAAAATGGCACCCGTGTTTCATTCCCCGTCGATGACATCACTCGCGCCCCAAGAGTTCGTGGTATTTTAACTGGCAAATTAAAGGTTGGATTATCCGCCACATGACGGCGTCCCGCCAGATCCGCTCACAATTTATTCGCAAACACGGAAAAGGAATAATTTTTCCACACCCCCAATCGCGTACCTCGACCTTCATTCGACCCTGGACGCAGCTGCGGCGTGTATGTTATTGTCATGGAAGATTGATTATTTTTTTACGTTAATGTCAATAAAAGACATTACTTAACGTAGACGCCTACATTATTAGGTTAAACATACCGAAGAATTATTAACTACCGAAACAATTAAAACGGTGAAATAAATGTCCAAAAATCTAATCAACTTTTTTTTCGCGCACGCCACTGCCTCAGCGGCGGTCGTAAATTAAAATTCGAGAGCGTCGTGAATTTTAATATATGTGACCCAACAATGTCTGTATTTTTCTTCCCCCCATAAAACGGCTGAAGCCGCCGACTCGAAATTTAGAGTATATCAAATTAGGGAGGCGACATGGAAGGCAGAGAAAACGGCGGGGCTTAGGCCAGCCCCCATTACGTAGCCAGAACAAACGCAAGGTCACGGTAATCAGAGCAGCTCCGCTCTACAATTACGACGTCCCAGTTTTCGACGATAAACGTTCCAACTTTGATATAATTAAAATTCCCCTAAATGCGGTCCTGCACTTCATTTACGAACTATTCACTGTCGACGTTTTATTAGTTTATTACTATCGGATCAGCTGGCGCACATATAATTTTCAACAGCCACAAAGATAACTTTTAACCATTTAAATTCTAAACAAAACGTTTCGCGGTGACACGGCATGTTATTTTAACGGCGTTGCTGGTAGACATGCACCTTCGCATTTTCATTTTGTTTTCTTGCTTGTCGTGTACTGTTTTCTGCGTTAAAGAAGGTTTGTATATTCTAGAAACTAATCTTGGCCAATTAAATTTCTAAAAAGTACATCATGCTTCTGGTGCGAGAAAATAAGGTTAGGTTCGCTATTTTACTGTACAATAAAGAAGTACTTCGTCTTTCGATATGTCAAGTCAACTGCCTCTTAAATAATGTTGGCAACTTTTGCTTCAAAGACCACGGAAAGTAGTACGAGGCGCGACACGGAATATAAAATGTTTATTCTGTGATTTGTGACGAATGTTACAGGCGCGGACTACTGGCGAAATGTGGCCCGTCAAGAATTATTAAGTTCCCTTAAGAGAAAAACCATCGAACGTCCGGCGAAAAATGTAATTCTGTTCGTCGGCGACGGCATGGGGCTGACAACCATCACCGCCTCTCGGATATACTCCAAAGGCGAGCAGGGGTATCTAGCGTGGGAAAAATTCACAAACGTCGGCATACTGAAAGTTTATTCGGCGAACAAGCTAGTGCCAGATTCCTGCAGTACCGCGACGGCCATCTTTAGCGGCGTCAAGGCCAACCACAAAACTTCCGGCGTCGACGCCACCGTGGAATTCGAAAACTGCCCCGCGTCGCTGGTCAAGTCCGCGCAGCTGGACAGTATCATCACGTGGGCCCTCGAGGCAGCAAAATCTACCGGTAAATAATCAAGCAACCGGCGCGAACATTCTTCTTTTTTCTGAGACGGCCGTTTGCCCAATCAGGGTTCGTGACGACGACCAGAGTGACGCACGCGACACCGAGTGCCTTGTACGCGCACACGCCGAACAGGAAATGGGAATGCGAAAGCACCGTGCCGGAAAATTCGAGAGCGTGCAAAGACATAGCTCGTCAATTGGTCGAAGATTATCCGGGCAAAAACATCAACGTCGGCAATGATTGTTTCCATTCCAGACGATTTTCATGTTCCGCGTAAATTTTAGGTAATCATGGGAGGCGGGAAGCAATGCCTCCAATCGGACGTGACCGATTCGGATGCCGATCCGATCGACACGTGGTCGTGTTACAGCAGAGACGGCAGAAATCTGATCGACGACTGGGCTGACGAGAAAAAAACTCGCAACGTGACGTATCAGGTGCTCCACAACAATGCCGACTTGGAAAATCTCGATTTGAACGCTGAATATACCTTGGGTAAATGAGGACCGCGTTGCCAAATCGTCGCGTGGTCCTGCGCTCTAGGGAAAAATTTTGTTTTAGGTGTGTTCGCGAATGGACATTTGAAACACGACTACGAACGGGACAGGGGACCTCAGGGAATGCCCTCGCTCACGAACATGACAGAGAAAGCGATAAGACTGCTAGAGAAGAATGAAAACGGCTACCTACTCATGGTAGATGGAAGTAAAAAAAGAATGTTGTTTGTGGTAATGCGTTCTTCTAGGTGGAAGGTGGGATGATAGATCAGGCGCATCACAGAGGTCACGCAAGGAAAGCGTTGGGGGAGACAGCGAGTCTTAGCGATGCAGTAGGAAAAGCTTTGGAGATAACTAAGGAGGAGGAAACTCTTATTATTGTGACTAGTGATCATTCGCATTCCATGGTGATCACAGGGTATCCAGATAGAGAAGCGGGAGTTCTATGTAAACCTCGAGAGTTGTTTAATTATTTATCTCAAGTTAAATTTATTTCTAGCTTATACTAATTCAGCTATGGACAATCGACCTTTTACTAGCCTTATATATGGTACAGGTGGACCAAATAACTACCAATTTACTGTAGAAAATAACACTGCCGTCAGACAAGATCCGTCTCACAACAACACCGCGGATTTTGATTATTCTCAGCAAGCGCTCGTCTACACCGACGAAGTTACACACGCGGGCACCGATGTGCTCGTATACGCAAACGGTATTGAAACCGTTGTCAGGAAAATAAAAATACAAATATGTTCCTTTCTAGGTCCAATGGCTCACCTCTTTAACAGCCTGCACGAGCAAAATTACGTGGCGTACGCTATAGCTTACGCTACCAGGACTGGGGAATTTAGAAGCGCCGAACAGGCGAGCTCCCTGGACAAGGATCGCTCGTGCAAAAGTCCCGAGCCCTGGTGTTTGATATTTATCGCTTTGATCGCGATTATACTCAGTAACGTGTAAAACATTCGAAAATAAAGGTTACCTGATTCCACAAACTTTTTTCGATACACACAACAGACACTAAATGCGCGAACAATTACAAGAAATTGCTTGTGTTTAAATAATCAAAACGAAACGCGGATCCACCGGCAAATAAATAACTTTTGACAGATGAATAAGCAACAAGCAAATGACAGATGTGTACTCTTTGTGGTCCGTATCCATCACGGACCGTCAAAAACGGATCAAATATTTTCCGTCTTCGTCCTTTTTTGTAAACGAAATATTGCAATGACGTCAGAGTGCCCAAGTTGACACTACCCTTGCGTAATAGCTGAAAACTGTTGTTGCGTAACGAGTAAATATGTATTAAATGTAAAAAGCACAGTAGCTGTAACCTAATTGTAAAAACTGAAAGATTAAAAATCCGTTTAAGTTAACTTTGTTTCGCAATGCTCAATATAAAATATTGGAGATGTATATAATTGAAAGCCCTTCTAGCCAAATATTTTCTTTGTAAACAACAATTAACAAGAAAAAAATGGTTTTATAAACATCAGGGAATGATCTAACAATATTATTTGTTTGTAGAAGTAGTTTGGAAGTAGCCACGATTCTAAATAGGTGTCCCATATTTAAGCGCCTGAAGTGTATGTTAGGAGTGTCCTTTCTTTTGGCCACGCCTATAAGGTTCAACGAAGCCACGTTTTTTCTTTTTTCTAAATAAATAAAAATAGAAAAAGTACTATAAACACTGCACTTATGTCGGATCTTAAAAATTCAAAGTGCCCAAATTTAACCCTTGTGCACCCTCTTACAATGAATGAAAACGGGGCCATTTAAACACCAAGGAATGATGTCAACAATATTTCATATTAGTCGTGCAGCGTCATTTACACACATCATTGGGAGCCACTTCCCTTAATGGGCGTCCTGAATTTAAGCCACGCCCCTTGAGTATCCTCTGCTTTGGCCACGCCTATGGTGCCTAAAGGCACTAGATAAGCAATTTTTCTAAATAAATTAAAATAGAGACAATATTACAAAACCAATTTATTTAAAAATCGAATACAAGAGCACGCGAACAGCATATCATTTACTAAACGACGGGAACCTTAAGAATTGGTAGCCTGTTTAATGATGGCGGCAAGTAGATCGGGATCTTCCTGTTGCGCGCCCACCCACCACATGCAGAGGGCGTTCTCGTACACCAGAGCAGTACGGGAGTGGTGCAACGGATCAAGGGCGTGATGTTGGCCGCTGGCGGTCGCCAATACCGGACGGTACGGGTGCAAACTCACCCCGTTACAGCTGTCGCTGTGCAAACTCATCTGTAAACCGGCCGATCGTAAGAAATTTTGAGCCAAAGGTCGGAACGAACATTTACCGATATGGGAAATATAGTCATCGAGTCCTATTTACGTACGCTTTATAAATAATTTAAGTGATTTTATGCGGAAATAAGAAAATTAATAGTCCTCGATTTAGTTGGTCCCGGGTCACGATACAACTACGTGACAGGATGACCCAAACTGCCTGTAAATATCATCGCTAGCTTTACAAAAAAAACATATCGGAGTACACACGAAACAGTGGTCGATTAACGGGGGTTCTCACTTTTGCGGACTTTTGTGGGGCAAACGTGGACCCCGTCCCGTTTGCTATAACATCCGAGGGGTAAACCGCGTGACTGAAATACCGAGTACCAAAAAAACCTTCCCCTTTAATTGACGTCGTAAGACAATAACAATAATAATAAATAGTAAAAAAGTAATAACAATAAATATCAAGCGTGAGTCAGGGGAGAATAAATTGAACTGAGGAGGCTTTTACTTGATGAAAATCCATTTATCAAAATAATTAAGAACTAAAAGTTCAGATTTTCACGAAATTATATATTATGACATGACAATTGTTTCGACAACACCGTGTCTTTAACAAATGTTTTTTGTTTTGATAAAGACACGGTGTTGTCGAAACAATTGTCATGTCAAAATATATAATTTCGTGAAAATCTGAACTTTTAGTTCTTAATTATTTTGAGAATAAATTGCCTTAGCATTTAGCAATTTGAGAGAGTGATAAAAAGACTGATGAAATGAAGTAAGGAAATCATACCCATCCCCATTGACTTTAAATGGACCACGCCTCTTATGGTGCTTGCATCGATCTAGATACACCTTCTACCACCTTCTTTGCTCTACGCACTTTTACCCACTTTTTAGTTTAACCACGCCCCGTTCGTCACGCGTCATTTTCAAGATATCTTTTTTTTGCATTTCAACTTTTTGGAAACGCACATAACTCAAGGAAAGTGACAAAAAACAACGGAGGGCATTTTTCACCCCCAGTATCAAAAACTCTAGGGTTCATCTTCAGAGTGCAAGCAATTTCGGGTAGCGGTTTACCCCTCAGCATTCATCTTTTTAAACAAAACAAGACCTACAAGAGGGGCACTTCCTCAAAGACGGACTACCAAAAAAGTGCTACGATACTAAAGCCAAAATCAAATACCTGCATATGAACCGTAGGATAACTTTGTTCAGAAACGTTCCAAACTTGTACTTTACCGTCCGTACCTCCGGACACGAGCCACTGCCCGTCAATGGACAGGTCGATGTAAATTTTTTGATTTGTGTTGCACTCCCTGGGCAGCACGAACATTGGCCTACCGGGTACCTTAAAATCATCGCCCGTCAGTCGAAGATTTTCAAAAAAAAGCAAATAATTTCCTTTAAAAAATGATTGTTGATAGAATTCTTACACGTAGATCCCAACAAATGAGCTCTTTGTCTTTCCTCGCGCCGCTGTATAACCTAAAACCGTCCAGCGAAAATGCCATGGTCGTTATACCCCCTTTGTGACCTGTTAACTTGCATAAGTGCCTGAAAGATCCGTCGCTTTGAGAGACCAACTCAATTGATCCTTTTACTGTACCTACAACAACAAATTGAATGGTATACCTGACTAATAGAGAAACTTTTACTACTAACCTATGCCAACAACCCCAGGCTGGGCTTGACTGGTGGCTATGCACGACACCTGATGGGACACTGGGTATTCAAGAAATTCACGACCCGGTCGACTAGTGCCAAAAATTTTAACATTTTTCTTGTATCCACAAAAAACACTCTGTCCGTCCGCCGAAAACGACACACTCATGGCAGCTTCCACTTCGTCCACGCTGTTGTAACCTCTATAGGTGCAACGCAAATCGCCAGTAAATGCATCCCACAGCTGAATAGGGCCACTGTGGCCACTCGAAAGCCAGCTGCAATAACCAGTTTTTATAACCCAACTATGGGCTAAAGTTTTTTAATTTGTTGCCTTATACCATTAGAGAATTGCCAAAAAGGCAATTTTGCAATAAAGTGGTTTACTTTAGTTACTCTGCTAAATGGGGGTCCAGATTAATTTTATTTTATAGTTATATACAGTTTGCTAAATATAAATATGGGATAGCATGGCGATATCCGCAACCCTAGAAAATACAGGATCAGAGATTACGAAATTTTAAAAGAGTTTTATGAGAATCCTAAATCTGCACTCAAAAATGATTCCAACCTAAATCATTTCTGAGAAATTCGGGAAAACGTAAATAACAAAAACATGAATGATGATACGAGGGCAGCGCCAAAATTTTTCGGCCTGAATATGAAAGAAAAAAAGTAAAGTAACATTTTTTTATTATTTTTCAATATAATTTTTAAAAGCATATTATATGTTCTATCTAATAATAAAAATATTCAATACAGCAATGTGTATATGGTGTATCTCCAAGACAAATGAAAAAATTGCTTCCCTTTATGTCATCATATTCTTCTGAAAAGTGTTCCATTGCCCTAGCCAAAATTATGTTGGAAGTATTTTGGGCTGTGCAGACAAGAAGAAAATTGAACTTTTCAAATTTTCTCAAATTTCTCAAACTCGATTCACACTGGAATCAGTTTGTGCACAGATTTAAGTTTCCCCTAAAATTTTTTATAACGTTTCTAATTTAACCTTGTATCTCCTATGGTTTCTGACATCGCCATGCTATCCCATTGGACGCACTGTATATGTAATATTCACTTATGTAAGACCTGCGGTTGTTAACATCGATAAATTATTATTATTATTCAAACCTAAGTTTCAATGTTTATGACCATTCCAAATTCAGATTTAATAATTGAATTGAAATTTAGCAACAAAATAATGAGCGTAATTTAGGAGTTTTTGAAGAAAAGAACAAATTTCTTTAACGTTGAACTTACCAACAGGTAGCTGCATTGCCGCTGTTCATACCAGGGTACCAGGAGTAATCATAAATAAGGCCAGCTTCGGGAACACTGACGGCTGGATTTAGGGCTCCGATTGGTCGACTAGTTAGGACGCTATCGCCAGAGTAAAGATCGCTGGGCAGCTCCATAACGTGCATACCGGCGCCCCTAACCGCCGTCAATAGGCATGTGCCATCAGGCGACCATTTGCAGCCCCTCAGGTAGTGTTGGTCATTGTAGTTTGGCCATTGAGAACGTGCCAATTCTAACGCTGTATTTTCGAAATTATATGCCGCGTACGACACTTGTTCGGCTTGAAAAACGCCCTCGGCGACTTCGGTCATTTTTCGCGGTGATAGAAATATCGATGTAATTAATAGAAAGCAAAGGATTACTTTTACATAGCCTAGCAACGATGAACGTCAAATGAAATCGGTCGGTATATAAATATTTATACACGATGAAATATCCTTAATCAAACTTAAACACTCACGAATTTTGAATTCTAGAAATAATTTAACCCAATACGAAAATAAAACACGCTCGGTTCCCAACAACAGCATAGTACTCCATAGTTAAAACGCTTTGGTTAACTAAACATTTAAATTAACAACGATCCACACCCCCTTTTTTGTCTAGTCTGTGGTGATACACGACGTATTTCTTCTTTTATTTTCGTGTTCTCGTTCCCTTTAATTGGTAAGAAGAAACTGTAAAAAGTTTATTCATGGATAAAATCAAATGGAGCTCGTAACAATTTTAGATTAACAATGAAAATAAACGAAAAGAATTTGTGCGCTTTTGCAGTTTCGGCGACGCCAGTCGACAAAGAAGGTTATTTAAACAAAAGGGGCGAAGTAAACAAGAATTTCCAAAAGCGCTATTTCATTTTGAAGGGCAACTTACTATTTTACTTTGAAAAGAAGGGAGATAAAGAACCGCTGGGAGTAATCATTCTTGAAGGATGTACAATAGGTTAGTGTTGGGCTAGGACGATCTGAAAATCAGCGAACTGCGTAATACTTTGTAGAATTATGTGAGGACGAGGAGCAGTTTTGTTTTAAAATTGAATTTCATGGAACCAACAACAGAAGTTATATTTTGGGCGCCGAAAGTCAAGAGTCTATGGAACAGTGGATGAAAGCTTTAGCATGTTCAAGTTATGATTACATGAAATTAATGGTGGCCGAGTTACAGAGACAATTAGACGATATTGAAGGTAAGTAAAAGTGCTGTTCCTCAAGCCAAGTGTGACGCGATAAACGGATAATATAGATTAGGGAGGCTATATTCCTTTCAAACTGATAAGAATATTTGGTGTTAATTTATCGTTTGATACGGCTGTTATCAGTTTTTTTAACTGACAGTTTGTTTCATAATTTTTTTTAACTAAAACTGGGACAAAGTTTTTGTTAATCTGTGCTGATGATGAGGCATAACATTGACAGCTATGAAAGCGGTCACAGTACGTTTTATGTGGTTCTAGAAACTCCGATTAATGTACCAGTAGCTCAAAACTCTCCTGTACCTCCTCCAAGGACCAGGCACAATCCATTTAACAAGCCGGACAATAATCCCCACCAGAGATCGCACAGTATGAGGTCGTCGAATTCTGGTAAGTTTGGCCCACCCAAAACACCACCCATACAAGCAATCTAGTAACCTTATCCTCATTTAGATTTGGTTCAAAAAACTAAAACAGGTCGTTTAGATGATACACAACGGTGGTCCGAACCACCTAGCACTTCAACTGCGTCAGCGCCCAAGATTAGTATCACGTTCAGGGAGCTGCACAATTCCTACGGTAGGCCTGTACTCAAAGATTTAAATTTGTGGCGGCATCAACAGAAAGAGAAGGCAGAGGGCGCGGTTGAGAATCTGATTAGTTTATAATGATATGCCCGACATTATTTATTTTTAATCTTAATGTGTAAAGAAGCCAAAACTTTAGTATAGTAAAGGGTCGAACCAGGCTATCGGCCGATGACTTGAACGCTTAGTGTCGCACACGCTCCCTTGTCGACTTTTAACGAGGAAAGACTGAAAATAGTTCAAATGTACCAGATACATTTGTCGATAGTATTGACGAATAACAAGCAGATACATTTCATACTTTCGTAGTAGTTTAAGATGTTGATGTAGGTTGAGCATGAGTTGGTTTAGTTGTTTCATGTTCGACAAGTGATATATTTTTGGGTAAATTTAAAAACGAGTAGTAAAAAAATTGTAAATTGCCGCTTAAAAGCAACTAATACATATAAAAAAAATAGCAAACAGCTTTTCCGGCACCTAAGTTGGATAAAAGATTCCAAGTCATTTTCAAAAAAAAATTTCAAAAAATTTGACATTATGGGAGATTTATTTTTAAAACTGGAACGGGACCGATGGCAGTACAGTACAATTTTAAGAGCAAGTCGTGATCCGCTTTGCTGTCATTCATGTTACGTCCCCACGTTTAGCCCTCCCAGGATTTTGGGAGTAGTTGAAACGAACCGTTATTGAACTTAGATTGAAAATGAAACCATTTTATTTATTACTCGTAGAGCAGGTTTATTAATAATACCTAATTTATATGTATATAATTATTTATAAAGTTATTAACATTTCATGTGTATTTCACTAAATCAACTAATGTCAATAAAATATTTACAAATTTATTTAACTAGTTAATATTTCCCCAATTCCCTAAAATTGACATATCATCCTTACAACAATAAACTATTTATTTACAAAGGTTGGGCGCTCTCGGGGGAGGGAACGCGCGTTTTGCTCGTTTAAAAAGAAACACTTACTAAAAACAACAATCCTAAAACCTGTCCAGTTAAGAAAAATATATAATATGCAAATGTCGTTTAAATAAGTATATAAATTATACATATAAAAAAAATACAAAGTAAGGGGGGGGGGAGAAAGACAAAGTGATTTTTTCGCCTTAACCACGTTAAGGGGTGAAACGGGGGAGGGGCGCGAGAACGAAATCACAGCGTCGAAATTGGTAGAACGTGGAAGTACAACGACATCAATTAATCGAAAACAAAAACACGATACATAGAAATGACATTTTTCGAGATAACGAAATACGGGAAAAATAAAACATAAATGCATCCGTCCTTATTTACATAAAACAACGTGTTACGCCTTCGTTTTAAGTTTGATTTTTTTCTGAGCTCTGGTGCATTTTGATGCCTTCTTACAACCCCTCCCTCAACCCTCTATTCCCTTCCTTGTAATAATGCCTTTAGCAGAATAACAGGGGGAAGGGAAAATTTTACAAATGTCTAGAAGAAAAAAAAATCAAATTTAAAACGAACGCTTAATACAACTTTTATGCGCTAAGGTATGGGTAACAAGGGGTCGTGTATGTATGTGTGTGTGTGTGCAGGCCTCTCCTATTTTTTCCTACTAAGATACGTGTTAAAATCTTGGCCCCGGTAATTTACAAATCGGTTTTTTGTTCCGTTTCGTCAAAATTAAAACATTACCCACTAAGCGATTAACATTTATATAAATGTATATATATTTTTTTAATCGTTTATACATTTGGCGGGGCCGCTGAGCCCCGCTAATCTGGTCTACTATATATACTTAACGCGTTGTATGCAACGCTTCGGCGTTTTCTTTCCTTTTTTTTAAAATTTAATAGTTCAAATCTTATGTACAAATTGTTCTAAGTTACCGACGGTATATATATAATATAATTATACTTATTACATCTCTGAACCTCTCGAAACCTCTACTCTTTGGCAAAAACGAGTTAGAATAACGCGCCCCTTGATTCGATACAAAAATCGGTATTTTTATGAATATAAATTGGCGATAATTTTTGGAACCGTTCCAACAACATCGTTCTCTGTCCGACAACAGTAAAAATTCGAGTGCGGCCAAGCCAAATCCTCAATTTTTGAAATAAAAAATACAACATTTTATTGAAAGGTTTGGTTTTGCAAATGGCACCAGAAGAGTCGTTTTTCTTGTACTACTTTGGACATTTTTAACTTATTGACGTAAAACAAGTATGGGAAATGACAAATTAAACTGTTTGAAATAAGTAATTTGAAATTAAATCAATTGTAACCTAAATCTTGAAGTCAAACAAATGTCGGCGTCGGCATTTCGTTAATTTTTTCTTTTGTTATATGTGTTTTTTCCTTTTTTGAATTCTATTTTTGATTTTTTATATTTACTTATATTTTTGATTAATAAAGACCATTTAATATTATTATCATATTAAAAAGTTAATTAAAATTTTTGAAAAAGAAAATGTAAAAACCACACATTAGGACCATATTCAACTTGAAATGAATCTTTGTTGACGGTGCCGGAACGGTTAACTTATTGACTTAAAAACACGTAGATAAAATAAAAAAGTATAAGTATTTAAAAATATTAAAAATTCAAAGGATATTTTGTTAAACAAAAAGTAGAACAGGTTTGTTTATGTCAAAAATCGACCAATTGCACGTCTATCTCTGACATTTTAAAACTTTTACCTCAAAAACCGTGGACAAAATACACATTACTGCCTTTCGGTCAGAAAAAAAAACATGTTGGATCACCAAAAATTGCGACCAGCATACCAATCACCGGGGGAGAGGGCGGGGCTAAAAATGCGGTAAGTACAGTGCTGCGGCCGGTGGGAAAGGGGCTAAAATGGATGCCGTTCGCTAAACCAACATGGTCAATATGTTTTCGCCTATAATCAGTCTATCGGCATCTCTGTCGTTTAATCGTTTCTCTTTCGGTTTGTACAAGTTTTGTATATACACATACATCAACGAAAAAAAAAAAAAAAAAACAAATAAATTACTACACGAAAGCCTCTAACAGGGTCAAGATTACGTCCCTCATTCTCGCACTCACACTCTCGTTTAGAATTGTAAAAACGTAAACAACAACAGAAACATAACAACCCGTGCGAAGCGGCGTCGGGGGGAGGGGGTGCGGATCCGTCCCTCTTGCAAAACGCTGCGTCTACACCATTGTATTTTGGCAGTTTAAAATATACACGCAAACTACCGCGGTTCGGCGACCTATTCTCCCTCTCTGTTTACGACTAAATAAATTATCATAATATCACAATTTTTCGCTTCCTTTATCTTTTGTACAATAAAAATCAACTACGATAAAAAAACGAATCTTTTTTTCCTATTTACAGAGCGCGATATCGCGGTCGATCGTTTTAAAAAAATATCATCTCGCTCGTTCTGAGTATTTTTTTTGTTTGGATATTTGTTTCGAAAACTCTTTGTACCCGCGTTCAAATTTTACCTCGTCAGAGCGATAAAAAATTATCACGTAACACCCGATGAATCGCGACTGCCAACCGAACACACGCGGGTCTTTACAAGAGGGCGGAGGCCGTATGGTACAGCTGAACCAGCACCTGCATGTGCACCGGCAAACAAGAGAGCCGATCTTTGGTGTTTGAGTCGAGTGCCAACCAGGAGAGGGCGTTGTACCCCTCCAAAACGTATCTGTAACCACAAATATGAGGTTAGAAACGGGATCCGCGGGTAGGGGGCGCTAACAAACCTCAACACGTCCGTGGTGTATTGAGAGTCGAGAGGGTGACTGGTGACCTGCGCCGACTGCTGGAACAGATCGTCAGAGCTCTGCTGTATGTTGGGACTGTGAAGGTGCAAGGCGTTCTTCAGGAAGGCGGGGCACACGCCCTCCAAATGGGGACAACTGGCCCAAAACCAGCGCGGCATTTTTCCGGTGGGTGCCGTCGAAACCAGGTACCCCAGCGCGAGGGGCTGTTGCAGCACCACGCCCACCTGAGCAAAACGTAGGGCTTTAACTTGCGAGTAGTTCAAACGAACTGGGGCAAAGCACACATTGCGCCACATTACGACGCATTATTGGAAAGTAATTCCAATATAGAAAAAAAATCTCTATATAGACAATTAGCGACTACCATAGGAAAATAGAAAATGGATTGGCCGTGCTTGATCAGCAAGGAGTCCAGATTTTAACCCTCTGGACTTTTCAATATGCAACATTTAGTATACCCCGAAGAAGCTAATTTCTGCATTAGTTGGGGCAGAAAATACAAGGAGCCGTAAATACCCCTAGAAATGATAGAGAAGTTCTGTTTTATTCTCGGACATTTAATGGAGCTTATTATAACATATTTTGAGGTAGATGGTGGACAATGTCAATATTTGATTTGAAGTTTTCTTTATTTTCAACCGAGCTGGAAATTTTTATTATTATACTATAAAAACTTTCTCAATTAACAAAAAAATTCAGACTAAATTTGAAACTTTGAACGATCTCCGAAACCAGCCGTCATCATATTTTGTTGTCTAGTATCTCCAGTTAGAGGTAGAATACCAATAGTACAAATGTACTAAGGAGTGTCGAGTACAACAGCGCGATAGGCTTACCTCTTCGCTTGGCTCGCCGTTCTTCTGGACTCCGCCCATGAGGGGCGTGCCCTCGCGTCCGCCCATCATGCCGCAGCCCGGACTGTTGGGTCCAGCATCTTCGCGGCGCGGGCTGCCCGTGGGAGATTGGCCGCCGCCCATGTCGGTCCACGAGGAGAAAATGTCGTTGAAGTCGTTCATGCCGTCGATGCCGTCGGCCATGTCGTCATCGAACGCTTTGAAGAGCTCGTCATCGCCGAGATCCGCGCTGATGTGCTGTTCCTGCGAAATTACATTTTTGGCGGCGATTTCCAAGAGAAAAAAACAATGTCCGACTCGACTGTCTCGACGTGGTCAATAAGATGACCTCCTACTGTATTTAAATCGGGTCGTTTTTCTATGCCAGCGGTTTGGAGGTGACGGATCTATCGATCAGAAGCCGCCACTAACGAGCGCTGGTCGCTAAAGGGACGCTACTTACCTGGAAGGCGGTCTGCGACGACTGAGTGGTGGCGCTGGTCGGGAACACCAGAATATGAGTGCAGGACACGTCTTCGGGCGTCGACAGCTGAGAGTTGACGCTCACTTGGCTGAAACGTTCGTCGGGCGTGAACTGGTCCGGCATCAGTCTCAGAACCGAGTCCGGTTCAAGGCTGACGAGGCAGGCCGACAGGATACACGGCACCGAACTCGGATACATCATCGAGCATTGGTTGCAGATCTCTTTCAGTTGTCGTGACGCTTTTAGCAGGTTCTTTTTGCTCAGCAGCCAGCTCCAACCTTTCAATTCGCCGTGACCTTAAACGGAGTTGAAGTTAAAGACTTGACGTTTAACCATTTCATTAACATCACAAGCATAACTCACAAGTCTCTTGACTTGCCGGGAGGTGCCGGTAATGTATGGAACCGTTCGGCATTGAATTGTACTGATCGAAAAAGTGTAAAACAATTTTTAAGATATCTGTACCCGATGAAATACAATATATATCCGTTTATGATGTTATGTAATAAAACGGTTTTGGTTACTTAAACAGTATATGTATATTATAGTAAAAAAATACAACTATGATCTTATAAAGCATATCCATTTTAATGTACCTAAAATTAATTTAAGAATTCTCAATAACTCAAGAGAATAATCTATAAATGTAATGTTTTTGAACAAAAACATAATGCTGACTTGCTTTTTACCGAAATAAAATGACTCCTTTTCTTTTCTGTAGTCTTACTGTTACATTTACATGTAATTAACTACTGCCAGTTTTGATAAAGAAAAATTAAATAAACTTCAAAACTTTGGTGTTTATTCAGAAAGGACACGTTCGAGTTAATCCTGGTGATAAGGAAGAAACCGACATTGTGTCGGTAACTAAAATGACGATTACAAATAAGTGATAAAAACAATTAAATAAACAAAACCAATAAGAGGGGAGAAGGAATTTTAAGAAATGTTATACCAATAAAGTGGAAAGTAAACAAATAATAATAATATCCTCAGTTACAGATTAGAAATCAGCTGTAATACGTTGAGAAAAGTATACAAAGAAAGCATAACAATTAAATAATAAAGCATAATAAATAAATAAATAATAAACCAATTAATAGCGCCTAAAATAAAAAGGTAAACGATAAAAATTCCGTATTAAAGATTAATCGGAAAGAAGTTGTAAACTTTCAAGAAAGGCAGAGAATAAATTTAAAATAAAGGCGAAAGTAAACATATAAACCGATAAAAAAAACAATTATTATTAACGAATAATTGTAATTTTTGTGTATATTTATTTATTAGCTCCTTCATCAGCGATGTTGAACATAGAAGGGGAAACGAGGCACTAACATTAACGAGACGTACCTATGCGGCCGAGCCTCCCCACTACCAGGCGCCACGGTCTGACGCTCTGCGACATCACGCCGAGGATGAACGTCATGAGTTTTTCCAACCCTATACGTCTGGCGGAGGCCTTTTTCCTCCTGCTGCGGTTAGGGATGTCAATGTTAATCGTCACCGTTTCGAATATCTCGCCCCGCTCGTCCGTGCAGACGGCCAACAGCCAACTCTGGTCTTCCGATAGGCAGTAACTGAGGTAAAGCACCGAGGCCTGGTCCTGAGTGCCTTTACCGAATGCCTCTACCGCCTCGACCTTCTCTCGCATCGGCGCCAGCACGTACGGAGGCGTAAACAGCTTGTAAGGGGCGCGGTTCTTCTCCTGCGACCCAAACTCGACATGTAGGCGGACGCCGGCGAAGGGTCCATTTACGAATACTCACGTCTTTGCTTTTCAAGAACAAATCGGCGGTGGCGGCGGTACCGAAACCCGTCAACGACTTGACGTTGTTTGAGTGAATCAGCAATCGTCTGCACTGCGCGAAAATGTTCAACGCCAGCGCCCTCATGTGGTCGCTGTGTCTCATCCGGTCTCTAGCTTTGTTCAATTCGACTATGCTCTCCAGAGAAATGATCTACGACGACCGAAATAAGAACAAGGGGAGTCTGTACATTTAGAGTTCTCCTTTACCTGTACGCTGATGTTGCTCTTGATGGCGTCGGGCACCGCGGCCAGCACGCTTTGGAAGCAACGTAACAAGGCCAGCACCGCGAGCCTCTGAAGTTCCGGCTGGTCGGAGCCAAGCGTGAACGGTTCGACAAGGTACACGACTATACAAGGCGGATCACGATCGTCTTCGTCGTGGGACATGTCGCTAAGGCTGTTGCTGGGTAACGTAGTGTCTTTCATACCGTCGCCTTCTATAAACGATGTAGAAACATCCTTCAGTTACAATGGAAAACCGAGACGCGACGCGGTAGTTCAAATGTACCGGAGCGCATATGGCTGCAAATCGACCGTTTAGCGCCACGTAATTATTTAAAAATGTTTCTTAGCTTCTTGTAATACTTTTTGGGAAAGCTATGAACATTTTTTTCAGTTTTTAATATAATACGTAATGTTTTTGTGGAAATTAACTGCATAAATACATGCAACATTTTAAACTTAATGACGTGATGTTTTAAAAACAATGAGAAAATAATGAAGTTACTTTTTAGCTTCAGATATTAGGTGGTTATATTATAACTTAGCGTAAGTGTGGTGGAATTGTGAATAATAAATATTACGAGAATATTAAAAAGAATTAATTATTAATTAATTATATAATTCTATTAATCACATTTAAAAAAAGGAATTTTGTTGCACGAAAAATTTAGTTCAAATCACGCAGAACACGTTCTAACTTCATTAACTTATTACACCAACACAAAATTCTATCAAATCTAGCGACAACCGGCAATACAATAAGTTAAGACTATAAAACAATATTGGCATTTTATTTGGTTTAATTCTTTAAAAAAAAAACACAGTCAGTTTTTTATGAAATTTTATAATGAGTTTATTACTTATGACTATAGTTTTATCGCGATGATGTATATATTAAAAAAAAGTCTACAGACGTATCGGTTTTGAAAATTTTTTAAAATGGGTCTGCCATCTTAGATTTTAATAGGCATGTACGAAAATACACAAAAATTTTGAACAATTTTTTTTGTACAGTCAATGGCAAGCAAAGAGTCATACTTAAAGGCAAATATGTCTCGAATGGGCACCTATGAGGAGATAACTTTTTAGATTTTTATTAAAATATATTCTACTCTGTATTATTTTGAGGGAAAGCAAACTATAAACCCCGACAAATTTTTTGTATGCTTCACCAGTTTAAAAAAATACGTAAATATAAAAATTTTAGAGGAGGACATTAATATTTAACAAAAATTTATATTCGTAAAACAGTGAGTTTAAGTGCCTTTCTCAAGAACTGTAAATGTATAATATATTTCTATAGGCCCCTTCTCCTTATTAAATCTAGATTCCCAGACGAAGTAAAGAATATTCAAAATCACATTCGGTCAATGGTCGACGTAACATACTGTGCGGCGTCTATTTTCGATTGTGATTTTTATGTATCCTTGTTTAGTATCCCCTCAAGATTGCACTGGATAACACGGTAAAAATTGATGCGCTTTAAGTGACTGTATTTTCGTAGAGATGGGAAAGATCTTCTGCGTATGCCTCTACATTTCATCCACCAACAGCTGATATCCACACCTTCAACTCCTTTGGCCTGAAGATTTAGTGGAAGCCGGAAAAACCTTCCCAATTTTTTTTATAGTTGCTGTATTATCAGAATTAGGCAGACCCTCTATATATCTAGTAGTTATATGTATTATTATTGGGGCAGTTTGAAGTATTGGCCGTTCCAACAAAAGTTTTTATATATAGTTTAACTGGAACTACATCACTTTCTGAATTATTTAACTTTAAGGTTCCTCAATAATAAGTTCAACTTGAATTGCAAAAAGTACAAACGGTAGTTCAAATGAACCAGAACACGAAAGAAATAAGGTCAGTCATGCGCGTTACCGTGGTCGCTTTTGGGCGTGGACGGCGCCTTGTCCGGCGTCGAAGACTGGGAATTAGGGTTGGGATCGGGCGTGCTCGGCGGCGGCATGGGACTCGGCGCCGGTTTGTCGGTGGCGTCGACGGGCGGGTCCAGCAACGTCTTATCCATTGGCACTTGCTGCAGGTACGGCGCCAGATGGTGTTTGCAGACCTGCGCGTACAGTTTGAGCATGTCGCTGGTCTCTCCGTCGCCGAGCAGCGTGAACCACTCCTCGACAGGCTCGTTGCCGATTTTTTCTTTCGCTTTCTTGCCCACCCGCAGGATACCGTCCCGAAGCACCTTGGTGATGGGACTGTGTCGTCCCAACTTGCAAATCTCGTAGGCGGTCGACAATTCCTGCGCAGAAGCATTGGGTCAGCACCGATCGAAATATTATAGGTTAGTTTTCACATTATTTTCAAACTTTTTGGGATGTTTGAAGCGTGCGCTACTGGTGTATATGTAGTCGAAGAGACCTGTCACTTCACAACACTATAAAGATTCAAACACACTCCACTGGTCTCAAAAATTATTATTTTCAAAACGTGACAAGTGCTTAGCCCACATGGACATTATCAGACCTATGAAAGGAATTTTTAAGGAGGTTAACTCAAACGCACACAGACACACAAATTGGAACGAGACCGAATCCGTTTGATTTAACAGAGATCTAAAAAACGAAGTAAAAAATGTTGTGACGGTGAAATAAAATAGCTGAACAAGACTAAACCCGAGGGAGGGAGGGAGAGTTATTGTCGGCTCAAAATTTAAAACGTCATTAAATCAAACAAGGATGGGATTCTTTTTGGCGCTGCTGATTTCTAATTGAGTAGCGAAAGCAGATTTGGTAATGGGCTTTAGAAAACAAACTGCTTACTAGGACCTTCACACATATATGCGAGCAAAGTGACATGTTTCATTAACACTGTCCCTTTTTTAAACCAACATTTCTTTTATAGGTGTGATAATGCCCGATTTTAACAATAACAATTTTTGACACCTTGACCTTAAATTTTTGTTTACACCTGAGTCTGAACCTAGTTTCAAACACTTAATCCGTTATTAACTGATCATTACCAAAAAGTTTGGCACGTGTCTATGTTTTGTGGTAATTTTATTATAAATATTTTCTTTGCAAAAGCGAAAATTTAAGCAGTTTTAAAAAACATATAAAAAATGGACTCTTCAGATAAATATGAATATTTTTAGAAGAAGAAGAATCAGGGATTTTTGGAAGAGATTATGCCCCATAAAATATAAACGTGATAGGATTTGTAGTCAAACTTTCGTTAAGGTTCGGACTATTTGCGTAAACTTTGCTGATAAATTATAATTCCAGAACTTCAAGTATCAACCAACATAGAGAATCTAGAAAAAGTCGGTCGGCTTTTCTTCTTCCTCTATTATTTAAGACAAAGTTAGCTTCATTAAGAAATTATTCTACGGAACCCGTTATACATATAAGTCTACTGTTTTGTTCTCTCAAACTTGACATAGACACAAGTGCGGTTGGAAAATTATATGAAACAAGTACGTGATTTGATATGCGAAACTTTATATCACGAGTCGTTATTAACCAGAGTTGTTACCTTAAAAAACGTCTTGACCCGCGGCAAGATGGCGTCGTTCTCGGGCGCGACAACGATATAAGCGACGTCCCTGCAATACGAATACGGTTCGAGCAGGAGACTTTCCCAGTGTTGAAGCGCGTAGGGCGAGAGACACAGCCAATCCTTGTCGTGGCCGACGATGACGGAAGGTATGGGTTGGGGTTCGCACCTATCGTCGGTACCTACACGGCGGCGATCGATTAGTTTTCGAAGCTCCGCCCCCCTCAAAAAAAGACAAGTTACCTCGACCGGCGAGCCGGTGAAACTGGCGCCACGTCAACGGTCCCTTGACGGCGGACGGCGCCTCCCACAGCCTCGTCTGACACTTCTTTTGGATTGCGTCCTGCAGCAGCGGCTGCAGCGATTTCATCACCCTCACGATGTCCTGATTGCACTGCGGTCCGGGGGCGCGCAGGAACGGCCACCGGTGCACGCCCGTCGATTTAGAACACTTCTCCGTCTCGATCTGGACAAAAAGGTGCGTGTCACGCGGTAGTTCAAATGTACCGATTGCGAAATAATCGACTTTTACGTTTTGCACGTCAACATTTACGCATTTAAAACTGATTCTGTAGCGTGCATGTAAACTAAACGATAGAGAAACAAAATTCTTCGCCGGCTATCGTGGTTCTTGGAAAAATTAATATCTTTGAATTTCCTTAGTTTGGCAGCGTCCGAACCTCCAATTCCAAACAAAATAAAAATTTGAAAGCGTTGAAAGTTGAAATTATTAGAAGTATTAAAGTATTTTCATTTTTAAGTATGTGGCCATTTCCTTTTTAAAATATGTAAGTCATTTCCAGAAAAGTCGTGCTACGAACTAGAATCCATAATTTCCTCTCCTTCTAGTACGAATGTGTTTTTTTAAATATATGTAAGCAATGAGCAATAAGCAAATAAGTTTATTAAAATATTAAATTAAAATATGGTAAGCATGACACCTATAAAAAGTCCTTTTTGTATTTTCTCTTTGGATTCCCAAAAACTTACTATTTAAACAGTTTACATTGTTGGCAATATTAACTGTGACCCGATTATGTTTTAAAAATGTAAACAATAGGTGAGTCACCATGGAATGAGAGAATAAATATCGGTCGCTTTTAACCTTACGTGGTAGATTATCTAAAAAAATGCACAACAATAGGTATATATTTGTGTTTAGTTTTTTGGAGTGTTTGATAAAAGTGGCATTTTTGCAATTCCCACAAGAAAAAATAATAACACTCTGAATGATAATACTACTAATCATCGTGTTTTAAGAAGTATTCCAGTACAGTGAACCGAAAATAATCTGAAACCACCGCAAAACAAAGAAAAATAACACAAGTCAAACGGAATTCAAAACGTAGTTTTATAGAACGCGACGACAGTGCCTCTAGCGTGTACTACGAGTGACTGAATGGCGAGCGGCGTTGCCCGATATAAGCAATTAAATTCTTACGTAGAGCTCTCAAAACTAATTTACACTCATTTTGCACTATAAAAGGAATATATCCAAAATATGAAATGGCGTGAAATAGACAAATATCGTTTAATTTTAAAAGTCAAACAAATTTCGAAAGCAATTTCAATTTTCTTAGAACCGGAATTAATAATTATACATCTGGGATAAGGCTTTTGGGATGAAACTCAGTTCGAAAGTGTCGTTCGAAGAATTTTATTCTACACGAAACTTTTTCATATTAACATGGGTCTGGAAATGCATAGTTTTCAATCTTGCTTTATATATATATATATATATATATATATATATATATATATATATATATATATATATATATATATATATATATATATATATATATATATATATATATATATATATATATATATATATATATATATATATATATATATATATATATATATATATATATATATATATATATATATATATATATATATATATAATAAGACGATACCTACTAATTTTCAACAAATTCTAGTCGGGTATTTCTTAAAATCTTTAATAACTTTTATCCAGATTCCTTGAAATTTGGCAGTTTAATGTGTAGAGAAAGTGTATTTTTTTCTTCTCGAAAATGAAACCCAACAATTTCTCTTGCATAATTTGAAAACAAAATTAAAATTGGTACAGAAGTCAAGGGGGGTGGGGGGCTTTTTTTCTTAAGAATATTCGATCGGATACCTCTGCACTGCATAATTTTAATTTAATTATTCCTAAATGAGCTTCTTGTCACAACAAACAACACTATCAAATTTCGACAAAATCAATTGGCGTATATTTAAAATATTTATTAACAACCCTTTTCAAATGGTTTTTATACATGTTTTAGAATTAACCCTTAAATTATTGGAATGTAAGATTTAACTTGAGCCCAATAAAGTAGTTTAAACGTACCGCACGCATTTATCAGAGCCCGATAATATTATCGCTGTGCTGTGCTTACACCTTGCACATGCCCAGATTCTCGAGCAGATTTCTGCTCTGCTCCAACGCGATCGCGGCGACCTCGTTACTGTCCGAATACTCGAGAATGTGCATGACGTTCGAATAGATGCCGACCTTGCTCTGACGCACGTAGCGCGCGGCCCTCGACAGGGCGTTCGCGGTACTCGGCACGAAAACCAACTGCTCCCTGATCAAATCGAGCAAGTTGTGCGGCAGAGCGTCGAGCTGATCGCGATCGACGCCGCTGTCCGCCTTGATGCAGTTCGACGCGGCCAGATACGACACCAGCGACTGTTTCTTCCGTTTGCCGGGGTCCTCGGCGATGCCGGTGATCTCCATCTCGTCTTCGTAGAAGAGGCCGCTACCGTAGGCCAATCGCCGGTTGACGACGGCGGAAAAACCGCAACTGCAACGGATCTGGTCTTCGTCGCACGAGCTGTGGTGGTGTTGGGGCGACAGCATGCCGCCGTAGGGCGGAGGCTGTCCGAGACCCGGGTACGGGCTGCTCGGTTGCGCGCTCGCGTGCGCCTTGTCCATTTGAGAGTTTAGGAGGTAGATGCCCGCGTCCGCGCCCCTGATGTTGCCGACCACCTGCGGAGCAAAAAACACGATTTGCAGGAGTCGCCTTTACTTACGTTTTATTTCTTATTGTTTATAGATATATAAATAAAGACTTGTTATTATTTATATTATTATTCATTAGGAAAAACGAATGCAAGCGCGTGGTTGGTTTGGAGATTCACTGAAGCTCCGCCTGAAGCTAAAAGTGAGCATTGATAATACAATAAGAATAAAAGTATTTGTTTAAATAATTATTTTATAGACATATATAATTGTTTGTTTGCACCTAAGCACTTTGATTTTGATCTCATCAAACTAAATTTAAATATTTAGCTTACCGCTGATTGCTTACTAAAAACATGGGTCGCCCAAAGTAACTTAAATACATTTAAGTGGGTAAGCAAAATAATTTAGATTACTTTAAAGTAATTTAGAAATGTTTCCTGACTATAAATTATTAACCAGTTAAAGAATACATTTTGCTGTTTAAGGAAATTAAATATGATTTTCTAATTTTTTGTTTGTTCTTGTTAAATAACAAATAAATAATACATATTCCTTATACATATACACAGCAGAACTATACTAAAGCAGAATATAATATTTAAAAAAATATATAAAGAAAACTATCCAACCCGTAAGTCAACCCTGCCTTGGTAGGGTATTTTTTAATAAATATCCCCCTTTTCTTAATTTTATAAACCCGCAAGTAGAACAAATTAGAATAAAATTCCTAACTAACCAAAGCAACGATTCAATTTGAATTTCCCGTGTTAATAATAATAATAAAAAGCATTTATGTTCATAACGCTGGACACTGACCGATTCTACCAACATTTCAAATAAAAAATCATTAAGTAGGTTCCAAACCCACACAAAAAAAATCCAAAATAACCAAAGACAAAAAATATATCAGGATAAGGGTAAGGTTATTGAACTTTTAATTATTTAAGTCGACAGATCACTTTTACCAAGGAATAGAGTTTGTAAAAATATTTAAAAAAAAACAAGTGACATACCTCTTTTGTTCAATAAAAATTCAGGGTCATCTTTACCTACCCCGACGCCAAATAATTTTGTACCCGATAAAAGTGTTTCAACAAAAATCTAAAGCAGCTTCAAAATGAAAATAAAAAAAAACATTTTTTTATTTCAGCCGCGGTTGCGGACATTAATATAACCTTTTTTCCTTTTCTTTAAGGATCGCATCGTATTATCAAATCCTGTATAGCTACACCTCGAAAACGATGACGTAACGAAACATAAATGGAACCCCCACTCTTCCGCCCCCGCTCACCTTCCCGCCGGCATTGCACACGCACAAGGTGCAGCTGTCAAAGTTGTGATCCCTGAATATGTTGACGGCCGTATCTGTAAGGAGTATGTTGAGCACCAGCGAGCTGGCCTCGGGCGTCCGCTGCATCGTTTGGGGCGTGGCCACCGGCTCGACCGAGTTCAGGTTCTTGTTGAGGTACGACGAGGCGGTCGAGTTGGCGGGCGAGGGCAACTCGTACGGCGGAGGCGGCGGCCTGAAACCTGCGGGATGCAGGGGACTGGGCGGGAAAATGTTCGAGTTGTGATGCACGTTGTTCGGTATCGACGGGGTGGGAGTTCGTATCCGACTGTTGACGCTGCCTGGGGCGGAGTTACCGCTGGCGGCACCCTGCTGCGTCTGCTGATTCTTGTTGTTCTCCATGTGTTGCATCCACGACGGCTTGTAGACGCAATTGCTTGGCACGTGTACGGGTTGGATTTGGCTAGGGAGGTTCGTTAGGGGCGCGTACTTGCTGCTGCCCACCATTTTGCACACGGTCGGCGGCTTAAATACGAAACTCCAGTCTTCTGAAACGAAAATGACCCGGTAAACGCGGCAAGGTCGTCGTCGTCGTCCCAGACCTATATTTTCCTCCTGCGGACTGCCCATGTTCGGATAAATCTCCTGTTTGATCTTGACCACGCCCAGATCCATAAAGTCGGGCTGATGGAGGTCGAGGGGTCCGCACGGCGACGCGATCGGGTTGTGTTCCAAACTGGGCGGGGTCGGGAACATTTTGCTCAACTCTTCGGCCCGCGGGATGCCCACGTTCGGGCATCCGCTGCCGCCTCCGTGACCGGAAGACAAACGTTTGTTGTTGACCGTCGCTGAAGTCGAATCGTCATGGTGCAAGATGTGATGGTTGGTGTTGGGACCCGCCGAACCCGGCGGCGTCTGTATCTGGATTTGCGGGAAGCACTGTAAGAAGCCTCGTTTACGTGTCCCGCCGCACACTGCGATATTAACGATATAAAACTGATCGAAAATAAAAAATCAATATGTGTTTTCTCTGCGCTATTAAGCATTTGTTCATCTCAGTTATTTGGTTGTTATATTACGTCAAATCGGAAATCAATTCTCCTTATCAACTTTTATGTATAAATATATCTTTTACATGCAAACTGGATCTCGATTTAGGAACAAGAAGATTATATTACTTTTCCAGGCGCGATCTTTATAAGTAATAATTTCTATATACGTATTACACGGGAAACATTCTAACCTTTTTTTTATGGAGAAAAAACTGGCTGCTATGTTTTGCCCCTTTATGGCAAAAATTTTAGAAATAATTCGTATCTTAAAGAAATACATCCAAAAAATTTATCATCGAAAAAATTTGAGAAACTTTTTACAGAAGCTCAAATTTTACTAAAACTTCCGAAGAAACCAGCAAAATTATGTAATTTATGTAACCTTAGCTATTCAGAATCGGATTTAAATAAAACTGTAAATTGCATGTTATTATTGCTGATGTTTAGTTTATTAGATTAAGCCAAAAAATTGAGTATTTTGTTTTAATGAAAAATATATCGACAAAAAATTGTTTGACCGGAAAAAGGTTTATTGTATTTGTATTTTCATTTTTTTTGTCCCGATCTCATTTATTGCATCAAAACAACCAAACAATTGGGGTAAAAATATTTATCCGAATATATTTTTGTAGGAAATAAAAAGTTCTTGTTTAAAATTTCCGACGATTCCGAAAAATGATGTCTTAAAAATGAATTTTTTTTTATTTAACATTTTGGTTATTTTTGTAACAAACAAATCAATACAGAACAAAGAAACAATATTGATTTTTGAAGGGAACTTCTACAAAAAAGGTCTCCTAATATATAAAATTATTTAAAAAAAAGTTATTCGCGAAAGAACTTGAAAAAAATATATGTTTGTTTTTCGCGATTTTCCCCCAATTTTTGTTGCACTGAATGGATCAAATTCCTAATCTAAATCATCGAAAATTATTATATCGTCAACCGCAACCGTCAATCACTAAGCATAACGTTAAAAAGAACAATTATCTTGCTTTACTACTGAAAATTACTTATTTACAATATTCTACACATGAGCATAATATTTGCTAATGAATTGCTATTTATTTATAACTTTTCACCTTTGACCTTCTAATTGTTTTCAATTTCCTCAACTTATAAAGCTCTATGACGAAAGAAACCATTCTATCGTTTTCCAGCACTCTAACTGCAATTTATATAGCAAAAGTGAAGTTTATCCTTTCAATTTGCATTGCAGTTCCGTGAAGTTTTCCCTAATCGGTCATCTACGCTCCGAACAAAGTCCTTACTTTCATTCCGACTTTAGTTATTTTTCACTTTTCAGTTTTCTAACAATAGAAATGGCAAGGCAGGAAAGTTATATAAATTGTTTCCTTACAGGCTGGAATCTTCCATTTTAAATGAAAAGAAGACAGAATAATTTAGATTTTTATACGCAGACAATTTAAAAATTAACTATAAACGTACGCTATTCACTTCAAATAAAAATGTTGGGCCTATGGGAGGAAAACTATAAACTTGGCATATCATTGGATCAAGCACAATTAAAAATTGGGGTAAACCAAACATTAAGAATTTTGCAAATTTTGAAATATCAGAATGATATTTTTGACTAACCCTGTGTCTAGTCGTCCTTCAAAATATTAAATTGTTACTGATTTTAATTTAAAACGTTTAGAATATTTAAAAATCATCTTCGATCAGAAATGGATATCAAATACGCCACTGGGCGCCGGGGCGCATGGTGGGCGTGGCCGCTTACCGCCTCGTCGCTGCTGGTGTAATCGGAATTGTCGAAAATTTGATCCAGATCTTTGTAGGACGGCTGCAGACCCTCGCTGGTAAACAAGTTCTCCACCTTCTTCTCTTTGGGCTCCTCCTTGATGACCACGCCCCTCTTGAAGCCGTCCAGGTTGCAGTTGGCGCCGCCCCCGTCCTCGTCGAACTCGTAGGGGTCGCCGGGTCGCTTGACGCCGTGCGCCTGCGTTACCGTCTGCGCCGTGTCAAGCTCTGCCCCATCTCCGGGCTCCTGTTTGATCTCCTGCTTGATGTTCACGACCCCACCGAGCAGCTCCTTGCACTGACCAACGACGTTGTGGTTGTACAACGAGTATAGGTCCAGTCTGTTCCGGTTCAGCCTGTTCTCTTTGCCGTCGCCCTTGAATCTCTTCACCGGGTGATTGAGCCACGCGTCCTGCGTGGAGTAATCGTACAGCATGTCTAAGGTGTGCTCCTCTTCGCCCAAGGCCACTTCGTAATCTGCATTGATGAGAACAAAATGTTAAAAGGGGAACAAAGCAATGGAAACGAATTGAAAAAAAGCTTGATGAACGATTAGAGTGGTAGTACAAGATTAGCGCCAAAATTTCCCGGCCTGATATAGATACAGCTCCACGATAAAACTTTCTCTTCTTATAAATATATATCTTAGTAGGCTGCGAAAAAAAAATTGAAGTCTTGCGTCAAATAGTTTTTTATTGACAGCATTTTAAACAATGCGTGTCGGAAAAAATGTAGCAAATAACGCAAATTGAGTATAGAGCAGTCAAAGTTTTCGACAAAAGAAGGGTTAGCACCTAAAATAATTAAAGAAAGGCTGGATGGTGTGTACGGCCAAAGTTCTCCTTCGTATTCTGTAGTGAAAGAATGGACAAAACGTTTTCGAATGGGGCATGAGTCCCTTGAAGATCAGTCAAGAACTGGTCGATCAGTGGAGGTCATAAACGAACATATTGTTGCGATTGTGGAAGAGGTGGTATTGAGTGATCGACGTTTAAAGGTCAAGGAAATGTAAGAAATTACTAAGCTTTCTGATCATTTAGGTATGCATAAGGTTAGTGCAAGATGGGTTCCTAAAAACCTTTCGGCTATTCAAAAACAACGCCGTGGCCAGTGTGCGCGGTCTTTTTTGGAACTCAGTGGATCGGAACCGAAGCCTGTGATAGAAACTATTGTGACGGGAGATGAAACTATGGTTCTCTATTACGACCCTCTATCGAAAAAAGAATCAATGGAGTGGCATCGTAAGGGTGAAGCATCTCCAAGAAAATTCAGTCTGCCAGTCAACAAAAAAGGTGATGGTAACGATCTTTTGGGATTGTGAAGGAATTCTTTTGATAGATTTTAAAGAAACTAATACCACTGTCAATAGTAAATATTACGCAACATTATTACATAAATGGCGAGACTGCATACGTGTAAAATGTCGAGGAAAATTGACCAGAGGCGTGCGTCTTTTGCACGATAATGCACCTGTCCATACTGCTGGTGTTGCACAAGCTGCCATTTTAGAGCGACTATTATTTGTTTAGATACTTGAAAAAGGACTTACGTGGACGAAGGTTTAACGACGAAGTTGAGTTAAAAGAGGCTGTTTTAGCTCATTTTGCAGTCAAACCAAAAGAATATATTTTTAAAGGGATTGAGTTGTTAATAAAGAGATGTAATAAGTGTATTGAAGTCAAGGGGGATTATATTGAAAAATAATAAAAAATTGTTACTCTACTTTGTTTCTTTCATATTCAGGCCGGGTAATTTTGGCGCTGCCCTTGTAGGATGTGTGAAAGAAGAGTGCAAAGCGAATTTTCTTTTGTTTTCATTGTTTTTAACTTTGTACCGACCCTTACTACTCAAAATGGGCCTCTTCAACGTTACGAGACCGCCGTTGACGCCGGCGCCGTCCTGCGTCTTTTTCTCCGGTTGTTTACCGTCCCGGTCCTTGTCTTTGGGGCTGTTCGTAGGGCTCTCGACGCTCTTGAGCGGTTGACGGCCGTCGCCGTCGAGCGGCGTGTGAGATTTCTCGGGTCCCGTGGCCGGCGACGACGTTTCGGCCGCGTGAGGCGGGTGCGGCGACAGCGTCGGCATCGGGACATCGCCGGGCGGTACCGACGCCGGTTGCGAATGGGGCCCGGGCAACGGCGACGGCGCTATCGACGCGGGGCTGCCCACCGAGTTGGCGGCGACGCTCTCTTGAGTGCGGGGATACGAGGGCGGACCGCCCTGAGGCGTATACGAGCCGCCGCAGCATCTGCAAACAGACAGGAGGAGGTGTTAACGATCCGAGGAGATTGCCGGTTTGTCGAGAACCCACACCATCCAAGCTGAAAGAAATTAGTTGTTTGTCTCGATAGAGGCGTCGAAATTGTTGAACCGACTGAATATATACAGAGCGAATTTAAAGAGTTTGTGTGTATATTCTACGGGGCGGCATTGCATGCGTTGAGACGGGTCCCCGGCAAGGGTTCAGGTTTAGCTTACAAAAAAAAAACGCCACACTGTGTTAGTTGTAGGCAAGTAGATTCCGCCAACTAACCAAAACTAACCAGTTTTCATAATGTAGCATTGCCCAATAGGACGCGAATTTTTTTGTTAGTATCGGTAGAGGCGCTTTATCAAATCGAGCCTACCTCTTGGACGGCTCATCGGTTACCGAACAGATTCGTCCCTTAAAATATATACGTGGAGGGCCGCGTTACACAACGCGGGTAAAAATGATCGAAACGAAGGAAGTAAAACCACATCACCCGCAATAAAAGAACCAGAACCACGATTAACGCTCACGTACATATATATTTACACAACAATCGCTAATGATTATAGTGAAAGCGTGAAAGGAGACATAATCAAAAGCGCCACTCCGCGCGAGAGATTTAGTAGCGTTTAGTTGGGTTAAATCCTTCACCTCCGGCGGATGATCATTTTGGAACGTCCGTTGAAGCCACACGGATGCGGGGGCAGTCATCACGAATATGGACGACGCACGACGATGATGGGAAAGTGGTCCGGCGGTGTAACATTGGAATTCGATACCGACGGTGAGACGATATTATTATTAATTCTTGGCAAGATTCCCGTTAAAAAAAGATCCCTTAGAAAGGCCGTTTTTTAAAGCTAATTCTTTTATTATATAATTTTTTGACAAAATAAAAAAAGGAGGAAAATTAAAATTATACTAAACTATACAATATTTCGAGAGGCGCCAGTGTTGTTCATTACCATTTTTTCTAATTAGTAGTTAGATACGAACACGTAAACCCAGAACAAACATCATACAGAAGCGATGAAAGGGCAAAACTGTCAAATCGATTCAGCTGTGTGCTTTTTGCTTTGCAAAGAGAGCGTAAAATATACCTGGAGGAAGTAATTCTAATGCTTTTCGTAACTGTAATAGCAGATAGCGTTACGAAATAACTTTTTTTTTAAGACCCTAGGTAGTGAGTACGGTTTAAGATGTGTATTACGTGTGGAAGTACACGAAAACTCTTGCCGATAAAAAGGAAACTGATTCGTCAAGTTTGACAAAGCGATTTAATAGTGACGGTGATTTTTTTTTATAAATTGAATTTTTAATTTGAAAGAAAAATAATATTAAAAACAATTGTTTTACCTGTAATATGCAAGGTTCCATTTTATTTCCATGTAATACAAAAATTCTACGATTTCGCTATTTCTCCCAGTGTGGGGCAAGCATCGCCTATTGGAAGCGTGACGTCAAACATCCCTTACCCACATAAGCAAGCACTTTTTGTCGCTTCTGTATGATTTATGTTTTGGGATCGGGGTGTCGCCATGTACCGGCAGTTTTTGACAATACAAAACAATGGGGGAAAATTAGGATTGTATTTTATATTTTGCTCAGGCTTCTATTGCAAACTACAGAATATTTTGAGAAGTGCCAACATTTGGTTGTTATTATCTTTTTTCGAATTGAATGTTGAATATTTGATTTAAACACATCGACCCAGAATAAACACCATACAGAAACGACACAAGGACGGGTTCAAAAATGTGTGAGTGGGGGAAATGCGGGGCAACTGTCAAACAGGCCGGTTTGTGCTTTTCATTCGTTGTGTTTATTCTTGCTGCGAAAAGAGAAAATGAAATATACCTGGACGAAGTAATTCTAGTACTTTTCGTGGCTGTAATAGCAGATGCCGTTGCCAAATATCTTTTTTTTCTCTGCAAGACCCTGTCATGTGTGTGAAAGTAAACGAAGGTCTTACCAATAAAAAGGATATTGATTCTTCAAGTTCGACAGAGCAGCCTGTCAGTGACGGTGACTATTTTAAATATTGATTTTTTAAACTTGAAAGAAAAATAATTCTGTTTTACATATGATGTGCAAAATTCTATTATATTTCTCCCGCGGTAAAATGTGGGGGAGTAATGCAAGCGTGACGTCAGAAATCCCTTACCCATGTAAGCAAGCGCTTTTTGTCGCATCTACGTGGTGTTTATTCTGGGACGGGTGTATCGCCATCTAGCGGCAGATGTTGGAAGTTAAGGATCGCGCGCGTTTTACTGACGCATTCTATTATACCCGCGTGTCAAAAGCTCTCCCACCGTCCGGCACCGAACGATCCGACGACACCGCGTCCCGCAAACCAACCGAAAAGAACCAACACCCAAACCAAACCCGGGCGGCGCGAAGACGGACACGGGGGCCCGGGTGGGACCAACCTTGAGTCGGAAGAGGACGCGGGGGGTCGCAAATCGCAGCCCGCGACGGCGGCGGCGGTCCGCGTCCGCCTAAAAGGTACGGGTTCGACTTTGGGCGTCGGAGATCGTTTGTGGAAAGGTACGCGCCTCGACGACGACGATGACGACTTCGACAGTTTCAACGACGGCTGCGTACCGCCGGACGTGGCCTGGAGCGGCACCCTACCGCCGACGTACTTCCTAGGTCTGCGGAGATAGTTGACGGGCGGGGTGTATTTCAAAGTGCGGGTCGGCGAGGGGGAAGCGGTCGCGCGCCGCGCTCTACTTACTTTGAACATGTACAGGGGGTTTTTCGCATCGGATCCGTAAACTCCCAGTCGCCGGGTTCGTTCCTGCCGCCCCCGCAGACGCAATCCTGCCACGCGCGTTCGGGGAGCACCTGAGCCACGCTCGGTTCCCGAGACATCGAGCCGATATTCTCTACGGAGACGGTATACGGACCCGGTTGGGGGACGCGACTGTTGATTTGCACAGGCGAAGGGGGCGGGGTCGGTACCACCGTTATGGGGGACGCGGCGCCCGTTTTCGCTAGTCGATCCGTCGCGACGGCGGCCGAGTCGGCGACCACGCCCCCGCTCAACACCGCCTGATTGACCATGTCGTCTAGGTCGGTGACGAGAACGAAGCACGACGGGTATCGCATCTTCACGCCGCCAACCACCACTTCGACGACGCTGCTGTCGGTTAGGTTGGAGCTCTTGTTCAACGGGTAGAATTGGCCCCAGTCGTCCAGCCAGCGGTCGTTGTTTTCCGGCGAGCGGAAACTTTGGCCGGTCAGGGTACCGGCCAGGCCGAAAGGCGCCAATATCACTGGAAAATTCGAAACGTTAGATGGAACCCAAAACGTGACACGTTGCCCCCTTCCCTAAGGCAATAGCGTTTACTGGGTGCAATAATGGCATATATCAAAAAATTACTATTTTTAGTTAATTATATCATAAAACTAGCACAATACCGGCAAATAGTTACCTCAGTTCCGCTAGAGAGAGTTAGTGCCACTATTGAATTTCCCGCGTTTTTTAAACTATTTTACACGCAAAACCGGCACATAACCCAGTGTGTCCGTGATCGCCGCAGAGTAGAAGCAAAGGTGGCATATTTTATTAAGTACGGCAAATTGGATTGAATAATCTATATTTTTGAAACACAATAGCGGAAAATTGAAAGTTATGTCATTATTGTATGTTTAAATGTTACTGGAACGGCGTGTTTTGTGCCAATCTTGCATATTTCATTGTAGCTAATTTTTTGCTTATTGCTTCAAGACCTGTGTGAGCACGCTGTCAAGCAGGTTACATGTTTAACCACGTACACCATGCATTTAACTTGGCCTTTTTATTTATTTATTTATTTATCAACGGCCCAACCGCCCAATATAAAACAGGATTCACTTAAACAAAATAGTAAACAACAAAATAAAATAAAACAAAATAAAACAAAATTAAAACAGAATGAAACAGACATATATGACAAACATTGGTTTTTCAAAATACTAATATTAGTATAGTTAGTCGACACGACACTAAGCACACTTATAAGAGTAGCGAGGCACCAACACAATGTTATACAATACTATTGCGAAGAAAAGCGGAATAGTTTTACTGTCAGTCTTTAAGTCCTTTCTCAAATATTCTTGCAATCTGGAAGCAGTCAAGTTGGTAGAATTTCATTAGTTGGCATTTATTAATATTTAGTTCCATTAAATTGAAATTGCTCGATAGCGATAGGTGATCTAAATCGGACTGGAGTTTTATACAGTCATCAACATTACAGGCTCTCATATAAAATTTTAAGTAGTCAGCAAATAATAGGAAAAATGCGTGATGAAAACATGAGGCAATATCATTCACATAGACATTGAACAGTAGGGGTCCCAGGTGCGATCCTTGTGGAACACCAGAGGGCACTTTAATTTCGGTGGATTGGAAGCTTTGGACGCGCACAATCTGCACTCTTTCAGTAAGGTACGATGTTTTTCATCTATAAGAAAGACCAGTGCCAGAAGTGTGTGGCTTACGAAAATGCGGACGAAGATGAAAGAAAAACAATGGAAGATGACTTTTTAATTCATCAAGGGGAAAAGAATCTAATCGGAAGAAAAAAAGAGACCGATAAGGAAAAATGTGCTCAAAATTACCAGGTTAGTTGTTTTGACTTGATTATAATGTTACACGTATTTTTATAATACAATGATGTTAAAACTTTGATCTACTGTTTTATTGATATTTTGTTATCAAAATATTGCACTTGATTTGTGAAACTGATGTGTGCAAAAAAAAATCAACAACGTCAAAAAATTTAAAAACTTTTAAAAAGAATCTCAAAAAATATTTTTTGTTTTAAAAAGAGAATAATACATATCAATATACAATTATAAAGACATATCACAATAAATTTAATTTTTAATTTAAATAAATATGAGTTATCTCAATATTTCAGTTTTTATTTTAATAAATTTTAAATTCGTCGGAACTATTATTTGATGGATGTGCCACTATTGCACCCAGTGAGCGATATGGCGTTCATACGACACTGGGAATTAGTTATCCTCTAGTGTCAAAAATAGACCAAGATTATATATAACTAAAAATTCGCATACAAAATTTCTAGGTACAGCACTTTGACTGTCAATTAAAGTGATCCAATCGAATAGACTACGCCTCAAAAAAATTAAATAGTTCATATGTAAGGATATCTTAAAATAATGCCGTTGCTTTATATCTGCGTAGCTTAAACCTTAACCCTAAACCATAGACTAAATATTAATAGACCGTTTATACGCAGTTACAAAACAAGACGTAAATAATCTGTATTTATTCAAATTATTTCTTCTTTTCGGTTGTTATAAGTTTTGTGACTAATAATAAAAAGTACTGCGCCTGATCTACTGTAGTAGCATTATATGAGGGTCACTTGAAAAGTTTGAATGAGGTTAGACATGTTTCCTCGATCTTTTTCTTTTATTTTTCTACATAGTCTCCTCTATACACTCTACACTTCTCCCAGCCATCCCATCTCTCTAACCCGTTCAAATAATACCCAGGCGCTTTTGTTCACAAAGGTGATTGCCTCCTCAATTGACGAAAATCTTGGAAGTCGCTTGGGGCTAGATCTGGTGAGTAAGACGGATGGTCACCGCTGAGGTATGAGTCTTAGTGAAACAGGTTTTTTTTGCAAATTTTCCGCAATTTCTGTCCTCAGTTTGTCAAGTAATGATGGGTAGTATACTCCTGTCGACTCACTCAAAGAACTCATAAACTAACTAACTACGAGTCCAAAATAAACTTTGATAAGTGCCTATCAAAAAGTGCATAACTACGATCATTAGCTTTTAGTACCTAGTGCCGTATCTTCAGGAAACTTTTCGAGTGACCCCCGTATAAAAGAATTATATATCATATATAAGAATTATATATTATATATAATTATATATCCAAGTTAATTTGCCACACTCTGGAATCCATTACCCTTCAGTCCCGAAGTGGAGGCCTGCGCCTGTTGCATATGCCATCGGGTAAGTCGCCTGACGGGTGGGTGTTGCCTGACGTCGACGCTTGCGCAGACCGAACTCTCGCCGTGGACGAAAAACGCAAACGAAAAGGACAAGTGTCCGGCAGATGGCGCCACGAAGTTGCCGTAGCATCCCGGCTGGGTGGTGGCAGAGCCGCCGCCGCTCGGGGAAGGCGCCGCCGATGACGTGGGCTCGAATTTCTTCGCGGGGCCGTCGTACGGCTGAACGAACCACTTGCCCAAGCGGATAAAATCTCTGCAACACGAGACGGAACAGCGGAAATACGCGAAATATTCGACACGGACGGTCGCTATAATACCTGGACAAGAGACACCGCTCGATGAGATTATGGAGCGCCTTGAACAGCAGCGAACGGCATTCGTACGACAGGCCGCTTTCCCAAGAGCCCTGCTCGCAATCTGTAAACGAAAAGAGAAATAAATCGACAGGTTTAGTTAAGTCCGTGACGTCACATATTCGCAGACCACCGAACAACGCAACGCGCTCATTCGGCGCAAACAAAGACATTTAAAGTACATAATAACACAGCAAATCACATGAACATAACCTCACTTAGCCCTTTATCAGACCGTCTCTTTCGTATTTTTTGATGCGATTCAACAAGATTGTTGTAATGTGTTATTGGTGACACTAACAGAATTTTACTTCTTAACGCTTGGTTTCCTAAAAAAGGTTTTTTTTTGTAGTGTCTAGTATTCTACGTAATTCATATTAGATATTTTTCGGTTTTCATATTTAAATTACTCTTGTAGAGCAAATCTGGCCACCTCATCGGAAAGAAAATGTTTTTGCACAAACAGGAAGGGATTAATCCTCCATCAGGTACTACGTTATTTCTTCATCGAATAAATTTTATTCCCACTAACCACCAAAAAGTGTGTTTGTTTATATTTTCCATCTCGGAAAATTTATGCACGTGCAAAACGTTGCTCCGTATTCAAGCCGCGTAAAAGGCTACTTGTAATACCAAAACAGGAAGCTTGTAAGGTCTTTCCTATTTTGTAAAATCGTTTAACCGTCGATTAATAATATAAAAATAAACAAAAGTAAGGTTAGGCATTATGACACCTAATTTATACGCCGTAAAGCATCTGACGTCATAATGACGTCAGGAAGATACCATTTCGCGAACTTCTACGTCATCCTTTAACCGGCAATCAACCGGATTATATTGTTCTACGATTGCCGCGTAAACGACCGATAAAACGTCCGGTGGTAACGGCCGATCAGTTTAGGGCTTCCCCCCAAAAAAAAAGTTACGAGCCGCGATAAAAGGGCCCTCCATTGGCGGCGGGCCTCGCAACTACCTTGAAAACTCGTATTGTTGGAAAACGGCGTCCCGCGCGCACGAGGCAGTATCCCGGGCACTGTTGCCGAATCCTCTCCCGGTTCTTCGCCCTTCTCGTGTATATTAAGTAACTATTTTTATTAAAAACTTTCTTAAAGCTCTTACTTTATTCTTATTTGATTTTGTATATGACATTTTCGTCAAGGTACCAATCCACTGCATAATTTGACATTCGCTGCAGTTTTTCTTTTAACTGCAATTAACTGATACGCCGGTCGATTATTAAAAGCGAACGACGTAGAATTAGTTATCGCCGCGCGAATGATACCCGCACGTTGTTTTGTTTTATAAATAGATTCGAATCAATTGCGTTAAAAATAATGAAATAAATCAGTGTAACGCGACGCTCGCCTTCGTCGCCACCCATACGAATCGCCGATAAGCGTGTGGGCAAAGTGGTCCGTCGAGGAGAATCGGCGAGGCGGCAACGTCGCGGACGAGTCACCTCTGCAAACAAACAATCGCTCCCGACTGTCGATAATTTCACCTTGAGAGGCGGATCGCTCGATTTGATCGAACGTCAAAACGGCGGCAGATATTTAAAGTCGGCTTTTTCGGTATTTGGCGGGTTTTGGGCTGCCTTGTCGCTCTAAAAATAGGCGCCACCTGGCGTTTGCTCCATCTCGCCACCCCTCCGCCTACAACAACGTCGCCACGTCCTCGAAGCGGTTTTACCAAAGATTAAATGAAATAAGGAACGTTGATTTCAGATTTTGTGTGCCAGACACAGTCAGAGACCAGAGACAAATTAGGAAGGATTAATCGAAGACGTGTGTGCCTGTGGTGCAAGCGCTTAGTGGGAAAACTTTGAGCCCAGCTCATCGGACTCAAATACACAGTTGAGACTCGACCGGTAGAAAGTTATCGACGTAAATACTTGTTACTCAGTCTTCCGCCATAACCATATATTTCGTGCGTATTATTTAAATAATCATGATTTAATTTTGAACTACTCCGTAGTTTGTCACACGGTAAACTTTGGTCTGTGACCTCTGGTGTGAAATAACACTAGCATTCTGCAGTTTGTTATGAACCGCCGATTTTATGTATAGAAGCTTTTATTTACCAGCTTTAATTAAAAGTGAAAGTACGCGTCGCGATCTGGTCTAAAAATTCTACTGAAGGCAACGGCTACAGTTTCTTGTTTCATGTCCAATACGAGTGAAATTAAGATTAATAAGCATGAATTTAGCAAAATGCAAAGAACGGCGGTAATTGTGTTAATTCCTCGACAGGTGTGTAAGGATAATCAAAATAAAAATAACGTAATGAAGCAGAATCGAGTCTAATCCTCCCGGTTCGACAACTACGTCTTAACTAACTTATCGTAAACCCAAAAAACATCGCATAATAATACCCTAATTATCTCCTCACCGCAACTTGCCCACCCTGTCCTTTTTGCCTGAGACGCCGATACATTTTACGATCGGCAAAAAAAACAAGGCGGCGCCTCTTTGTTGCGGGGTCTTGTCGGATATGACGTAATAATATAAATATTCCAACACTCGGCCATCCTGACTATTGGTCTGTCCTCAGACCTAATGGTGAAATTTAAACGTAACTTCAATCTTTCAAAACTACAATACCATTCTAGCTTGGTGCCTAGTCTTAATCATTACGTAATAAAAAAAACATAATCAATTGTAGGTAGTAGGGTATCTTAAACATAAGCGACATTCCTTTATAAACAATAAAATAAGCAACATTTGCTTATAGGCAACGTTTGCCAAAACACAAAACACCAGCGACGTTCGCTCATAGGCAACGTTTGCCAAAATACAAAATACGAGCGACGTTCGCTCATAGGCACGTTTGCTAAAATACAAAGCACGAGCGACGTTCGCTCATAGGCACGTTTGCCAAAATACAAAGCACGAGCGACGTTCGCTCATTGGCACGTTTGCCAAAATACAAAACACGAGCGACGTTCGCTCATAGGCACGTTTGCCAAAATACAAAGCACGAGCGACGTTCGCTCATAGGCACGTTTGCCAAAATACAAAGCACGAGCGAAGTTCGCTCATTGGCACGTTTGCCAAAATACAAAGCACGAGCGACGTTCGCTCATAGGCACGTTTGCCAAAATACAAAACACGAGCGACGTTCGCTCAGAGGCACGTTTGCCAAAATACAAAACACGAGCGACGTTCGCTCATTGGCACGTTTGTCAAAATACAAAACACGAGCGACGTTCGCTCAGAGGCACGTTTGCCAAAATACAAAACACGAGCGACGTTCGCTCATTGGCACGTTTGCCAAAATACAAAACACGAGCGACGTTCGCTCAGAGGCACGTTTGCCAAAATACAAAACACGAGCGACGTTCGCTCATTGGCACGTTTGCCAAAATACAAAACACGAGCGACGTTCGCTCATAGGCACGTTTGCCAAAATACAAAGCACGAGCGACGTTCGCTCATAGGCACGTTTGCCAAAATACAAAGCACGAGCGACGTTCGCTCATTGGCACGTTTGCCAAAATACAAAACACGAGCGACGTTCGCTCATAGGCACGTTTGCCAAAATACAAAACACGAGCGACGTTCGCTCATTGGCACGTTTGCCAAAATACAAAACACGAGCGACGTTCGCTCATTGGCACGTTTGCCAAAATACAAAACACGAGCGACGTTCGCTCAGAGGCACGTTTGCCAAAATACAAAACACGAGCGACGTTCGCTCATTGGCACGTTTGCCAAAATACAAAACACGAGCGACGTTCGCTCATTGGCACGTTTGCCAAAATACAAAACACGAGCGACGTTCGCTCAGAGGCACGTTTGCCAAAATACAAAACACGAGCGACGTTCGCTCATTGGCACGTTTGCCAAAATACAAAACACGAGCGACGTTCGCTCATTGGCACGTTTGCCAAAATACAAAACACGAGCGACGTTCGCTCATAGGCACGTTTGCCAAAATACAAAGCACGAGCGACGTTCGCTCATTGGCACGTTTGCCATTAATCCTCTTCGTTTTGTATACTAATCCACTTTTTAACATGGTCTGCGGCTACAACAGTTCTTCTACGTTTGAACCCCTCTCGTAAGTCTTCAACTTGGTATCTGTCATTAAATAGTACTTTTGTGATGCGAAAAGGGCCTTTGTATTTCGGATGAAGCTTATGACTGGCACCCGTAGTAGGTATACTCGTTATTAATACTCTAACTAGGTCACCGTCGTTGTACCTTTTGGAATCTCGTCGTGTTTTATCATAGCGTTCTTTTTGTTTTTTCTGGTCCCTCGATATGTGATCCGAAATTTTACACCTAAGCTCTTCCAGGTCTAGCCTATCGATTTCGTCTTGGATTTCATTCAGAATTATTGCCTCTGCCGCATGTTTTGAATTAGAGCCAATAAGCGCCTTCATGGGGGTCGAATTAATACCCTTATTAAAACTTGTATTAAGTGCGATTTGCACTTGTTTTATCTATTTGTCCCAATCTCTTTCGTCCTTGCCTGCAGCTGTTGTTGATAGCGCACCCACAATGGTTTTGTTATATCGCTCACATTGGCCATTACTTCTGGGCGAAGCAACGGCATTTAAAACGTGCTTAATCCCATAAGTATTACAAAATGTTCTAAAAGTTCGAGATGTAAAAGCTGTCCCTCTATCGCTTATAATTCTGCTAGGTACTCCAAATAGATATATTAGGTCGGTTAAAACCCTAATAACGTATTTACTTTTTTGATTATGTACTGGTTCGATTACAGTGAATTTAGTAAATGCGTCAACAATCACAAAAATATACTTATTCTTCGTTTTGCTTGTCATAAACGGCCCAACATGATCTACATGTAATGTATGAAAAGGAATCGGATGTTTCTCAATAGGGTTCAATTTACATTCTCGTTTAGAAAACGACTGTTTGTAATACATACAACTTAGACAAGCGTTAACATATTTCGTTACGAATTTCCTCATTTTTGCGAACCAATAGTTTTCACGAATTCTTCGTAACACTTTTTCTACATTAAGATGCCCATAATCATCATGACACAAACGACAAATTTACATACGTGCTGCTCGTGGAACAACCCATGCTTTGG